ATGCTGAATCTAAACATGTGTTTAGATTTTTGATTATGGGCCCAGTTTTCAAGTTTGTCCAAGTTGGGGTCCAAAATTAAACTTTGTTTGATTTTAACAAAAATTGAATATATGGGGTTCTTTGATATGCTGAATCTAACCATGTATTTTGATTTTGGACATTGGACCATAATAGGTAAATTAAAAAAAATCAAGTTCTTAGACCACATTCTTTCTGTGTCAGAAACCTATGCTGTGTCAAATATTTAATAACAATCCAAATTCAGCTGTATCAAGCTTGAATGTTGTGTCCATACTTGCCCCAACTGTTCAGGGTTCGACCTCTGCGGTCGTATCAAGCTGCGCCCCAGCGAAGCATTTTATTAGAAGTAACTATTTGAAAATGCTGATTAAGGAATATTAATTTTAGCCATGATTATGTATGTTATTTTCTATTCTAAGACTTGTATTTAAATGGGTAATTATGGTTGCAAACTCCATTGGAAATTTGAATTGAGATTATGACCATATCTTGAGGGAAAGAATTTTTTTGGAAAAAAGGGGGGGGGGGATAAAAAAGAAATAGTGAGGGGGGACAATTTTTTCTCATTTCAGATTTCAGAAATAAAAAAAAAATTTCTTCAAATATTAATTTTTTTTTTGCCAAAAAAAGGGGGGGGGGGGGGGGGTTAAATTTTTTTTTTTTTTTTTGGAGGAGGGGGGGTCAATTCGCAACAGCATAGTGTATTGCACAAAAGCAAAAAATTGAATATAAATTCAAATCATATAACCAATTTATTCTGTGTCAGAAACCTATTATTTGTCAAATATTAATTACAATCCAAATTCAGACCTGTATCAAACATGAATTTTGTGTCCATTTTTGCCCCAACTGTTCAGGGTTGGACCTCTGTGGTCGTATCCAGCTGCGCTCGGCGAAGCAAAGTATTTCAATATAACAGAACTGTATATATACAACTGTCGTATAAGTGGAAGGTTTAGCAAGCTTTTAAACCCGATTTAACCCACCATTTTCTTTGGAAAATGTCTGTACAAAGACTGGAATATGACAATTGTTTTCTAGTCATTGGTTGAGATAGTTGAGCATTTGGTTTTGTCAGTTTTTATGGACTTTCCCTTTTTAAATTTACCTTGGAGTTCAGTATTTTTGTTATTACATTCTTTAATGTCCTGCTGCACCTTGTGGCCTGGCATTTGAATAAACCAAAGCGCTACTGCTTGTATGTACTTTCTGATTTGATTAAGTTTTCCAGTTATGACCATTTTTCAAAATCCCATAATAAAACATGTATACCAATGATCAGCACTACAGTCTTGTGTTGTTCAAAGCTACATGTAATCAGCGACATTTTGTTAAAGGTACTATAACCATTTATTCATACTTTTAGGATGGTTAAATTTATTTCTTACAAACCTGTGCTGAATTCTAGTAGCACACATTTAGCATAATTTTGGATCAGTATCACCTATATTTCTTGCTTGTGTGACCTAGTTTTAAATACGTAAGAAGATACCTTAAAGAAAATGAAAAGTTTCAAGTTTCAGAAGGACAGACAAATCATAGGGCGGCCCAGGTGAGCTAAAAATAGGGGAAATATTTAAACAACTTTTGGTGGAAGGTGTATTCCTCTTGATAAAGTTGTAATATTCATGTGGTTAGGATGATTCAGTTTGAGGTTTTCCAGTAGTGTAATTATCCTGTAATTTCTAAGTACAGTTCTGATTTTTGCTAGCCTTCATGTTTGTGGTAATTCAATGAGGTTCGTATTGCTCAGTTTTTAGTTTTCTATGTTGTGTTTTGTGTTCTGTTGTTTTTCTTTTGGTTATTTCCTTTTTTATACGCCCGTTTACGGGGCATTTTATGGTATACTGTTATCCATCTGTTCGTCCGTCCATCCTTCCGTCGTCAACATGTCAGGCAATAACTCAGAAATTCTTTAACCAATTTTCATGAAACTTGTTTATGAATTGTTTATATCTATTGACATAAAATTCCTTACAATTTTTATGAATTTTAGATTTAACGTTTCTGAGTTATGGGATTTTATTCATAACAAAGGGGGATTTTCTAGTTTTTGGACAACTCAAAACTGCTTTGGGTAGTCTTCATGAAACTTTGGTGACTGGTTTATATCTATTAAAATAAGCTCTCTTTAGTTTTTTTTTATAAATTTCTGATATGACATTGAGGAGTTATGAACTTTATTTACTGAAAAAGCAACAGGCATATAACATGCTCATGGTGCAGCTCTTTATTTAGCCATGGCTTTGTCAGTTTATTTTTGACTTATGAGTTTGAATGTCCTTTTGGTATCTTTAGACTTGCACAATATAGTACTTTGATATTATGAAAGTTTCAGTTCATAGAAAATGTAAAATTCCAAGGATATCCTCTTGATGCACAGGTGTTTCTAAGTTGGTTTTTGTCTCATTCTTTTGTGTTATTTCGGTATAATGTTTGATACTTTAAGATTTTCAATATATAGTTTTGAGCATATCTGATCAGAAATAGATTTTTGAAATGCAATTTTATGCTGCAAATTAAATTTGTAACTTTTTAACCAACATCTTTCATTTCATTAGACATTACCTGCAATATTATACTGCAAATTAAATTTGTATATTTTTAACAAACACCTCTCATTTCATTATCTTCTCTTAATTAAAATATGCATTGTACCTGCTCAAAAGTTTTTGTTGGCACATTTTGTAATTAAGTGTAAAATTCACATTTTTCATTTTGTTGCTTCAAACATGGTTCTTCCTATACATGTATTTACAATGTACAAGGTAAAAAATCATAGAAGCTACCAGGGACGGGGTATACCTATTAAATGTCTAATTATACTCCACTCACAGGGTATACTAGAGTACTTGTCCCTCTGTCATTTTGTCAGTCCACAACTTTTGTTATGTATTTTTGTCAGCTTCTATATTAATTAAGGAATTATTTGGTACTTGGTCTAAAGCAATATTATCTGTAAGCTATTTTCATATCTTCTGGGCAGTCAGTCCCTGTTTGACCGTACTTTGAATTTTACTTTATCCTCTAAGCAAGAAATTGTTTGTCGACATCAAATGATTAGAGGGTATACTTTTACTTTGAACATTGCTTGCAACTTTTTTTTGTGATTGTCCTAAAGATTTGGAAGTTCTTTGAATGTATGTTTTTTTGTACTGGTATATCTTCTTTTTTTACGATATCTATGCATATTTTTAAAATAAACAGCTGCATACTTAAGAAAATTCTCTAAATCATAAAAAGAATAATTATATAGATCTACAAAGTATACGTTTTTATCCTAATTGTTTTAGAAAACTGCAAAATAAGCAGAGTATTTGTTTTAGCCATATGGTTTTCTATAGTTTAATTACAGCCATATTAGATGGAGAAGCAGTATCTGTCTGTTTCATCTCTTTGAACAGGAAATAAATGAGTCACAGGTTATGTCAAAATTAAAATTCTTCTCCCCTCTTCCAGAGTCTTAAAAATAGCACTCAAAAATAACCTATGTATATTTTGTTGTTTGTAAATAAATTGATGTTGATATTTAGTTGCTATCTTATAAAGATAACACATGTTGTTAAGTATGGATATGTTTTGCTTTGTACAAGTATAAATAATTAGATTTATTAGGATTTTGAAGTGCCCAAAGAATTTTTAACAGTATTCTTTGGAAATGATGGGCATATTGAAAATTACTGTATGTTATCATGGACTGGACCTGTGGGTATTTTTTTAGTTAACATTTTTCAGTGCATCCATGCCAATAGAGAAGGTTTTGAAATAATGATCAGCTCTAATATCTCCATAAGATTATAATATACTACAAAACATTAGCAAGAAAACAATCAGTTTTCCAGATGTTTGGTGAATAGTACACATTATCATTTCCACATGGTATCTCACATGCTTGTCATGACTAGAAGCTGGAGTTTCTCTTGAATATATCAAGATTAGTTGACATGACATGAAATTCTTACTTTCTTGTCTCAAGTTAAAATGAATATGTGTGTTACTGTTGTTTGAAGTACATTAGTATCATACTTTGTTAATGTCAGTGCTAGCTGCTTCTGTGGATTCTTTTATTTTTATTTTTCGTGGATTGAGGAAATATTTTATTTTCCTGGATATTTGACTTTTGATTTCGTTGTTTTGCCAAATACAAGCAAAAGAAAATTTATACTTCGTTGATCATTTAGATTCGTGGCTCACCTTAACCCATGAAATCCTCAAAAATGGGTATCCAATGAATAATAATGAATCCACAGTTGCCTTTTATGAATTTATATTGAATCTCTATTGACATGAATCTTACAATTCCAATTATAGATATTAAGGATTTTTTGTTCAAATTTTGCCCATTAGAAATTGTTGGCCTCTTGTTTGATATTTTTTTTAAGTAACTATGTTTTGATAAAAACTAACAGTTAGGGAATCAGGATTTTCAAAAAGATATGCCAAGAGGAACCAACTAAAATTGTTTGCCTAAAATATGGGATGTGGTGGAATGTTCTTCAGGAAATCGTATTAAAAATCACAAATTTCTGGCCATAGGGGATAGAAAGGGCAATTACTCTCTCAAAATACTTAAAACTGGTTACATGCAGTTTAGACATGCAATTCTCTTTATCTATATTTACTTGGAATGAGATTAAATGTTACTCACTTTCTTTACATATATATACTTTCATATGGTATCAAATTATAATGAAGGAGGAAACAAAAGTACCTAGTTAAACTAGCAACCTTTGTCCAGTAACCATATTTGGATATACCAGAGGCAGAGTATTAACTTAATTTTTCAAATATTGCTTCTATGACAGTTACTACTACTGAGTAACTGACACTACTGAGTAACTGAATTCAATAGTTCTGTATTATAATGATAATAATTCTTTGTTGAAGATTCTGTATTTTCCAACCTGAGCGTCCTTCAAACTATTAAGCTTAACAAAATACAGTATTCAAATTTAATTGTCTTGACTTTTTTTTACAGATCGCTTACAAGTCCAGTTATACAAAGACATAAAAGATGCAACAAAAGGGAACCCACCAAAGCAGGAATTTTATGTGGAAGGATTTTATGGTTTGGAAACGGTTAAGTTTGACAAGGAACCCAACGTCCTTTGTGTGGTGTGCCAAAAACAAGTGACACTATTTGCATTTGAAAATAGACAACAGGTCATACAGTTTGAAATCAAAATAAGAAAAGCTTTAGGAGAAGGTAATTATGACTTCAACAAACAGCAATAATGGGGGTACCGGTATTTATTTCAAGTAATATTTTAAACTTATGGCACATGCTGTAGCAAATATATTCTGTAAAATTTTATTGGCTCTACACAGTTTTTTGAATAAGATAAACATGGAGATTCTAATTAATGGCTGAAGCGTTTAAAAAAAAATAAACCCCCAAAAAATTGTAAATTCTGGATTTAAAGTATTTAAGTTGAGTTTAAAGGGACTGCACCAACTTTAAATTTTGGGAAAAAACTATCTCTACAATGTAATGATAACTAACACTACAATGTTATGATGGAAAATCAGTGTCCATTCGAGATTTTTTTCATAGAAAGGTCATTAACCTCTTTCTTATAAGAACAAGGGTTGGTGTGTATTTTTCTTTGTCATAATAATTGCTTTATATTTTGAAAAGAAAATGTATTTTATCTCATTTATCTTCTTGAAACTGTCAAGATTGAAAAACACAAGCAAAGACTGCTGACAGAGAACTGATGATCTTTATTTTGTCAATTCCTCCTAGCTGATAGTAGTTAGGAAGTGGTGTGATTTGAATGATACATTTTTACTGTAAATTTTCTTCCTTAAATGAAGTCAACTTTTGATGAGTTTGCTTTACTATTTAGGTCCTTTTGGTATTGTTGTTGTTTGATTTTTATGCCCCCACCGTAGGCAACAGGGGTATCAAGTGTTACCCTTTACAGTCCTTCTGTCCTTCCATCCGTCCATCCCATTTTCATTTCTGCACTCTTACTTAAGTTTGCCTCATCCAAATTTTAAGAAACTCTTACACAATGCTAAGAACCACAACTTGCAGACAGAGTTCGATATTGGGCAGTGAGTCATTTACCGTTCTAGAGTTATGACCCTTTTTAACTTGGAAAATTGCAAAGCTTGAGCGGGGGCATTTGTGTCCTCGGACACATTCTTCTTTCATTTATATATTTCCTTACCAAATTTTGGTCTTTAGCATAACTGATGAAGATCATACCATGGTATTTATTGATAAAATGAATAATTGTACAAGGTTTTTGTTCTGATTGAAGTTTCCTGTATTTATTTTAAAATATATCTGTTGATAGTGATACATAACCAATAAACAAATAAAAAAAATACCCATTAAAATTTTAAAACAATTTCAGAGGAAAGAACACCCTTCCTCTGCCATGTTTTTGTACTTTTATAAAGTTGTACAGTTATAGGACAAACGCCAAATTTCATCCTAAAATTTAGGAGATATCAAATTGCACAATTTATTGATGTTAATTAATCCATTCAACATATTACAACCTCTTATCAGACTCCCTGCTGGTAGAGATTGGAAAGTCAGATGAATGGGTATGAAACTTTCATCTGTGACCATGGTAATCAGACCACTGACCATAGAGGCAAATAGATTTAATTGGAAACAATTCATTAGTGTATATTTCAGAATTTGTAGAAGAACACTATTTTATAGGACCTTATAGAGTGAAATCTGTTCCAGGAATACAACATATGTGTATATAATATATATATTTTTAAAAGAATTCTTTGTATATATATTTGAAATAATTAGTTAGAGAAATGAATTACTAAATTAATAGTGACACAAGCATGTCAGTTGCGATTCAAGGATTTTGAAAAAGAGAGGCACCAAGGCATCATTAGTATCCACATCTAAATGTGAACTTGTTTAAGTCTTGAATTAAAATTATTGGAAAACATTTTTTTATTTATATCGTTATTTAAAAAAATTCTAAATTATCAAAAAAGCTCAGGGTTCATTCTCTTGATTATGTAGAAGCTTCGATCAAAGTTTTGTAAAATTCCATGAACGTTTGGCAAAGTTATTAACTATCTTTAACAACAGACTATACCTAAAAAATTGACTGCCAAAAAAAAAATTATTTGTTAATTACGAGAAAGGGCGGAAAATTCAAAATTTTACTCTACATGTCAGGTATTTATTGAGTATGAAGAATCTGCTTTAAAACTTTCCTGAAAATGAAGGTTTGAGAAAGGTTATTGATATTTGTTAACTTTAACCCTGGCTGTATCTAAATATTTATTAAACAAAAATAGTTCTAATCATCAGCAAAATACAGAAAGAAAATTTAAAATAAAAACTAGAAAAAGTGATGCCCCCGCACTCCACTCTGAAGTAACTGTATTATAACAAAGTCAATGTATGACGTCCTTATGAGATATTATTGTGGGGGAGACACAAATGATGCCCCCGCAGATGCAAAGTGTTATTTTAAAATACACAAAGTTGAGCATGGGAGCACATAGGTCTATGGTTCACTGTAGGAGGAGTTATCCAGAAACGTTGTGCACCTCTGATGCAAGTATATACTCCAAAAATGACAAAGTTCCAACTATCTCCCAAAAGAGCAAATTTTGATAAAAATCAAAACCCTGACCACTTGCACACCTTCAATATATGTACAAACAGCCAGCAAAGTGAAAACTTCCTAGCATTCAAACTGTAGGAGAAGTTGTCCGGAAACGCTATGCACCTCTTATGCAAGTAAATACTCCAAAAAATGACAAAGTTCAACTATCTTCCAAAAGAGCAAATTTTGATAAAAATCAAAACCCTGACCACTTGCATACCATCAATATATGTACAAACAGCCAGCAAAGTGAAAACTTCCTAGCATTCAAACTGTAGGAGGAGTTGTCCGGAAACACTATGCAACTCTTATGCAAGTAAATACTCCAAAAATGACAAAGTTCAACTATCTCCCAAAAGAGCAAATTTTGATAAAAATCAAAACCCTGACCACTTGCACACCTTCAATATATGTACAAACAGCCAGCAAAGTGAAAACTTCCTAGCATTCAAACTGCTGGAGATTTATCTCGAATAGCTATATACCAATAATGGGACGGACGGACGGAAAGACGGAAGGACTGGACATACGGACAGACAGGGGTAAAACAATATCCCCTCCCCCAACTTTCAGTTACGCGAGCATAAAAACAAAAACTTTTTTCTTAAGTTGCCATTTTTTGGTCATGATGAAAATTCTGTCCCTGTTCATAAAATTCCATAAAGTTATTGATATTTAGAAACTTTACCCCAAGACTAAATCTAAATAATAACTTTTAAATAGCCTTTTATCAGTAAAGTAAGGAAAATTGATACAAATGTTTTAAATTTTACTCATGTTCTTGAAAAACCTAATTTATAATATCATTCAATAATGCTTCGACAAAGTTATAGATGTCTAAGAAAAACTAAAACCTCAGAAAGTATTAATAAACTCATCATAGATACCAGGCATCAACTTTTGAACATTTGACACACGTTTAGTCTACAAACGACTCATCAGTGACCCACGAATAAAAAAAGTTGTAAGGCCAAAATAAAGTATGAAGTTGAAGAGTATTTGGGACCCAAAATTCCGAAAGGTTTTGCATAATACAGTTAAGGTAATCTATTCATGAAATTATAAATAGTATTTAGAAAAATTCAAAGTTTTGTAAACTGTTAATTTATAATAACATTAGTGCAAAAAAAAAATTATAACAGTAAAATATTGAAAAAAGAAAAAAGAATTTCTCTGGATGCTGTCATTGTATAGAAGATATGTCTGTTAGTTAAATAAATTCTATGAAGATTTATCAAAATATTGACGTTAAATATTGATGTCACGACTAGAGACGGATTAGTTTAGTTTCAAAATAATATTTTATTTTTAAAAAGTGCACAAACTACAATAGAAATACAGGGATTTGGAAACAAGAAGAACTTATATAAATCCCATAGAAGGATTGTTATGTCTAGATTAATTTTGGCGACTTTATTTGCAGGCTAGACAAATAGCAAATTGTAAAACTGGAAATATTAAAAATGTCAAGATTTTTTTGGTGAAATGAATTTTGAACTACTTTATAAATTTTTAAAACTTGTGTTGGATTTTTGACACCATTATTTCGAGAACACATTTTCAAGGTGTGCCTGAGGTATTTCAGAACATTAAATTCGAAAACTTCTCAAGTTTCATTCCAGTATACAAAAAATATTTTACAAAATCTGTCATTTCTTATACATATTTATATTGTAGATTTAGTTATACCCTTAAATATAAAAATAAAATACTAAACACAAATACTCTGTATCCAAATGTTTGCATTGCCAAAACTTTAAAAAAAAAAAAGGGGTGGGGGTGGGGTCTTGTGTATAAAAAATTCAAAAGTCAGAAGATTTTGCCACTAGCTGATTCTGATAACAATCTATTTATGTGGAACAGTACTTTTACAATACATAGAACACATGTGGTCATTTCTGGTCAGTCATCTAAAATATTGTGGTAGTCAGAAGATTTCCTGCTGTGAAGACAAACAAACAAGTGTTTGAATAAATGATTTATCAATAAGCTGTTAATTGGTTAATGTTCTGGCTATTTTGCTGAAGAAACTCAAAATCTGGCGTTTGTCCTATAACTGTGTAGTAGTTATTTAAATACCCTCAGGCTCACTGAGCAGGATATCATGGAGATAAAGATGGCCTTTCCTGTTTCCTCAAGTAGTCTGTTTGTTTAACATTAAAGAATAAACAAAATATTGTGAAATCATGTATTTATCCCACATCAAAAGAAAACTGTGACAGTGTAACACACATATATATTTTTGGGAAATATATCTTTGTCAGTTTGTATGTGTAAGTTATTATTTATTTATTTAAAAAGAGGAAACAAGTGTTTTCTTAACCTGACTGTAACTAAGTACAAACTTTGACAGATTTAGAGTAAGTAAAGTGATCAGCTTTTAATGGTAACTCCAATGGGTTCTTTATATTTCAGTAAAATTAAATGATTGATTGACTGATTGATGTTTTATGCCACTTTTAGCGATATTGGCTATTTCGTGGAATTCAGTTTTTATTAAGGGAAAAAGTCGGAGAGAATTACCTCCTTCCGCAGGAAATTTTTCAGTGAGAGGAATTCCCTGTATATCTACTTAGTGTCACAATGTTAGGACTATTATTCCAAAATTTGATAAAGGGCGTCTTAAGTTTGACTGTAATTTAGTTTTACAAAAGTATGTACAGCAGTGCAAAAAGGATGAAATACAATATCATTAATCATTCTCATCAAATGGAAACATTATCTTTTTATAGCAGAAGTCTATTTAGTTGATAATGAATTCAATAAAGTATGCATAAAACCCAAGTTAAAAATCTATCAAAAGTAAATAAGCTTGCCTTTCATATTAATCTTGCTTAAAGTACAGTATATCTTGCAAAATCTTGGTAAAAATGCTGGTCTATAAATCTTATTAACATTTCTTCATGTTTATTAATCTTTCCTGGATTCTCCAGGTAGAAAGGTGAAATAAAATAAAGAATCTCAATTCATTTAATATTTATGAATGAAAGGAATTTGGCTTCCTGCACTTCCAAGCAATTAATTTTGCATTTAACACTCCATGTTTTTGTTCTTCATCAAGGTAATATATTAAGTCTTAGAGAAGTGTTAAAAGCATATATATTGTGATTGAAATTTACTATGAAATGTATTTGTGCATCATTACTGTAATTTATTTCATCCCTAAGAAGTGCGAAAATATTGCATAGTTTGCTGCTTTTTTGCAATGGATTTACAGCCTGTTCACATTAAGTGTGTAATTTTTATTCAGTAATTGGTTAGTTTGAATTTATGGAAAGCTAATTAGAGAGGCATTACAAATTTTATAACAGTGGTTACAGTGAAATATATTATGATGGACCCATGTGTATATTCTGTATTTCTTATGCTAAACAGATTCAATTGAAAAGTCAAACTGGACTAACTATAAGTTCTTTGGATGATTTTGAGTGAACCAGATGTTAAACTTGTCAATAATTATCATCAAACTATTGGGAATATGATGATGCCCAGCTGAGGCTGAGTCTAATTGGCGATGATTATATTCATTTCTAATTATCTCACATAAATGTTATCTGCATATCTCTATGATAGCTGCTACTTCAAATTTTATTTGTGCATATGGAAATAATAATTTACAAAGATTTATTCTTTTTTGCTTGTTTGATGTAATTAAAAAGATGACACTTATTTTATAGTAAATTTTGTTATAATCATTCATATTTATACAACTACCTAATTTATTTAATTGATTATTGAATGAAAATTATTTTGTAATTTATTGTATTTTTATACCCCCGTTTATGGGACGTATTATGGTATACGGTTGTCCGTCCGTCGTCAACATGTCGGACATTAACTCAAAAACGCTTTAACCAATTTGAATAAAACTTTGGTGAATTGTTTATATCTGTTGACGTGAGCTCCCTTTTGTTTTTTTATAAATTTCAGAATTTTCGTTTCCGAGTTTTGGGGTTTTATTCATTAAAAAAAGGGGGATTTTCCAGTTTTCGGACAATTACTCAAGAATGCTTTCATCAACTTGCAACAAATTGTGGTGAATTGTTTATATCTAATGACATGAGCTCCCTTTTGATTTTTATAAATTTTAGATATTACGTTTCAGAGTTACAGGGTTTTATTCATAAAAAAAAGGGGGATTTTCCAGTTTTCGGACAAAAACTCGAAAATGCTTTCAGCAGTTCTTATGAAACTTTGGTGAATTGTTTATATCTATTGATGTAAGCTCCCTTTAGAATTTTATAAATTTTACATTTTACATTTCTGAGTTATGGGGTTTTATTCATTAAAAAAGGGGGGATTTTCCATTTTTTTGGACAATAACTCAAAAATGCTGTCAGCAAATCTCATGAAACTTTGGTGAATTGTTTTTACTGTTGATGTAAGCTCCCTTTTGATTTTCATAAATTTCTAATATGGCATTGAGAATTAATTGAACTTTATTTGTTTATAGTCTGACAACAGATTTACTAAGTATTGCGCAACAGCAAGAAATCTTTAATAAATTCAATTCATATAACCAATTTTAAGTTCTTTGACTACATTTATTCAGAAACCTATAATATGTCAATTATTTAATTACAATCCAAATTCAGACCTGTATCAAGCTTGAATATTGTGTCCATTTTGGCCCCAACTGTTCAGGGTTAGACCTCTGCGGGCGTATCCAGCTGCGCTCAGCGAAGCAGTTTATTTTGTTGTTGTATGAATAAATTATTATCTCCTGTCCTGTTAAAGCTACATGTATTTGACCATATATTTGAAAGGGGTTGTAAATTTTGAAATTTTTGACAAAATTCATTCTAGCAGATTTCAGTTATAATTTTAATATAACAAGGACTTGGGTCTTCAGGATTCACTGTACATGTAGTTAATAAAAAATAAATGGCAAGTTTTCTCTGTATGTGACAGTAATAGGAGTTAATAATTAAGAATTTCTTTATTTAGGGGGTCTCATCACGAATTCCTGAGAAAATAAATGCCAATTCCTGAAATCCTATGAAAATTATGTCTCTGTTCCCACATCACATTATGATTAAATCCTAAAATCCCCAATTCTTTATGATTTAACTGGCTATTCCGAAAAAAGGTCGTTCTGCAACTCTTTATAGATTTGGAATCTAACATAAGATTGTAATCAACTACACTGCAAAACATTGACATACAAAAAATGATCAAGACAAATCTTGGAAATGATTTTTTTACAATAAGTCTAAAGACAGGTTATCATTGTTCCCAATCTCATCATTCACATGTGTTAAATTATTCACCAGATCTGATATCCAGCATACCATTATCTGTCCAAAGTTCTGAATGGGGGTTATATGAAGGATTGATTTAATTAAGGAAACTGAAAATTAGATTCTGAGGGAACACATGTGCTGCTGTTTATTAAGTCATTTCATTTGATAAGCTGTCCTGTCATAGAGTTCTTATGATCATAGCTGATAAATATTGATGTCTGACTCTAATTTGATGTTTTGATGTATGTTAAAGTGTTCATGTTATGTCTTGTCAGACCATCAGGGCTGTCAGCTGTCGCTACTGTTAAAACAGGAAATGTACATCTTTAAAATGATTTATGGCTAAAGTATAATCATATTCTGTTGTTTTTTAATCAGTTTTGTGCTATTACACTTTAAGTTTTTAAACATTCAAACAAAAAAAATCCCCCTAGAATTTGATGATTTTCACCTAAAAAATCTTATTTTATTATCCACCTACACAGCAAACAATTAGCTGATTTTATGTATGCTAATTTCATGTTTTAAAATAGTTGTAGATTCCATGAGAAATTCTATCTTGGTTTTGCTAACATTTTGTGCTATGCTTGATAATTTCTGCCCTGTTTTTTAAATTTGGTCAGCTAAGTGTTTTATTATAAATTGGAGACCCAGAGGGTGCTCATTAGACACAATAATACAAAAGAATTTACAGGCTGTATAAGTTTAAGATAATTACTCTATATGGCTGGAACTACTATTTTTTAATGAGTTAAAAATTTGCAGTTTAAAGAAAAAACTAGTTTGCTAAGTTTTATTTTAATGTTTCCCTTTTCCATGATTCTTATCTTCTTTAAAGGTCAAGTTTATTCATGAAATAAGCTAGAATAAACCCTTTGTGAAAATTTACCCTTCAACAGTATGTGAAGTGATGCAAGGTCCCAGAAGTCTCTAGTTTACTTGATAAGACAAAAAGATGGTAGATATGAATAACTCCAAAAATTTCTGATGGAACCTATGTATGACTGAGGACCAAGATCATACAATGTTTGTAATCAAACACTGAGTGGAACATGAGTTTTATATTATATAATGTTATTATAATAAATAGTATTACTATACTTTTACCTATTCTTATTTTTTTAGAGGATCAATTTGTAGTTGATATAAAGAAAGTTCCAAATAACAGTAAACTCCAGCCAGATCGTGTTAGACTTTTGATACATGGACAAAAGTTTTGTTTTACTGCAAGTATTCCTCCTAAAGTTTTATGTTCTTGGCAAATAACTGATCTTAGAAGATTTGGAGGTGTTGATGGCAAATTTGTATTTGAAGGTGGATCCAGGTGTACTAAAGGTAAATGAAAATCATGAATGAATACATAAATTGCAATTTTGTATTTCATTAATGGAAGTAAAGGGTTCATCAATACAATAGAATGCGAGTTATTTTTCATTCAAAAAGGGATTTTGCAAAATAAGATATTCTCTGCATGCTCTGCTTCCATGTATGCATGTGAACAGCTTTGATCTGATTCTCAGATTTACATGATTTAGCAAAACAATTGTGTTGGTTTAACTTTGTGAATTATAAAGAAATTTCTACAATAGTTATTGTCTCGACTGTAACGAAAGTTGGAGAAGGCAAGACATAGTTGTTGCTTTTTCAACGGCAGTGATAACAATTGTTAAGTTTTCTACTTATCAGATTGACAACTATTTCGAGGCCCTGCCCCTAGGTCATGGTCCAGTGAAGCACTTTTCAATGTTAAGTTTTTCTGCTTAAGTTAGTTTGATAGGAATTACTAGACTAGATATATTATCTATAAAGTTGCATTACTATCAGTTCATGTCAGTTTGCAGACTTTTTTGAGGCCCTTCCCCCTTGGTCATAGTCCAGTGACTTTGAATTAATTAGCAATTTTCAATGTTTAGCTTTCTGCTTAATTATAAAAATAAGAAGATGTGGTATGATTGCCAATGAGACAATTCTCCTCAAGAGACCAAATAACACAGAAATTAACAACTATATAGGTCACCGTACGGCCTTCAACAATGAGTAAAACCCATACCGCATAGTAAGCTATAAAAGGCCCCAAAATGACAAATGTAAAACAATTCAAATGAGAAAACTAATGGCCTGATTTATGTACAAAATAATGAACAAAAAACAAATATGATATACAGCAACAAATAACAACCACTGAATTACAGGCTCCTGACTTGGCATAGGCACATACAGAATGTGGCAGTGTTAAACTAGTTTAAAGGCGCGCCAACCCTCCCCCTAACCTGGGACGGTGGTGAAACAGTACAACATAAGAACAAACTATAAAAATCAGTTGAAAAGGGCTTCACTCATCAGATCGATACAGCAGAAATACATCTAACAAAAACACAAATATATTTTCAAAAGCACAAATATCAAATAATTTTGAATTCATGAAACTGTACTATTAATACTGTATTTGCACAAAGAACTAAAGCACACACAGTAAAGAGTCAGTTACAATACAAAATGCTGTCTTAGAATTCTCAAATTTTGGCAACAATTAACAAAGGCTTGAATAAAAATGTTATGAATGTAAAGTTTTTGTTTAGGCTAAGATTCACTGTATATTCAACAGCCTTGTGCTGTAAAAAAAATGTGCTTCAAGCAAAAAAACATGTAAAAAAGATTGCAACACGATGCATAAAAGTAACTCTGTGCCACATGCATATATGTACATCATTAGCTTTTTGTATTAGACAAACTTCTCAAGTGGAAAAATATGAAGAATTGTATTTAAAAACATTAATGGAACTCAAATTTGAATATTTGCATTGAACAGGTTCAGGAATACATTGTGTAGCCAGTAAGCAGGCAGAGGAAATAGCTGAAATTGTCACATTAGCTAGCCAGGGTAAAACTGCAAGCTGTAGAAAAGCAAATAAGAGGAGTAAGTAAATAGAATATCAAATTTATGTGAGAAAATTTTTGCACTGAAATACTCTGATTTCCTAGTAGAATAATATCTGATAATTTCACTCCTCTGACTGGATACAACAATGGGTGTTGTATCAATGATGATACTACATCAAAACTGAGAATGTGTAGAAAAAATACAGTTCTTTACTTATTCTTCTTTATTTCCATTAAAAAGTCCATTGGCAACGTTATAAAAATAATAAATAATTCAATTATTCAATATCCACAAATATTCCTCTTGTTACCAAAGAACACTGATAATTAAATCATGGGATATGTGCAGTCGTGAACTAATGTGTTGTTCAGTAACTTGTTGAATATTATTTTATATTTGAATTCTGCGATTAGTTATACTATTATTCAGCATCAGAAAGCAAAATGATAATAAATATTGTCAAGAAATTTTCAATTCACCGATATGGAAATAGTTTAGAAATCATTGGTTTGTGTAGTTCAAAATAATGTTCTATTGATACTTTGAGGATGGGGCCTCAGTGGCTGAATGGTCTAAGTAGTTCATCTACTATATCACTAGCTTGTCAACACTGAGGTTGTGACTACTTGTGAGTTCGAACCGGCAGTCTCAATCTTAATTGATTAGGATCGCCTATTTTTCTTATCAAAAGTTGTTGTTTTCTCCGGACACTCCAGCTTCCTCCATCAGTAAAATCTGGCTGTGATGATAAAACCATAAGTGCAGAAAGTGATGTTTAACATCAGCTATTAATCAATACTTTGAGAACTAAATAATTAGGTTACAGTAACCTCAATCCAGGGAAACTAACAGTCACAACATCATGAATAATAGTACTTTTACTGATATTATTATTTAGATTAAGCTGTAAATGCCTATTTTTCTTATGAAATTCTAAGAATTTTTATGTGTCTTAAAATGAGATCAGTACATTACTATATTTTAGTAATGAGGTCAGTAGATTTGAATGCCACTGTTTAAAAGTCTGATGTTTGTATTTTTATTGGAAACTATACCTAGTACATGTAAATTTGATGCCAATTAAAAAGATTGCTTTGTATTCCAGAAATGCATGTTAATTTTAAGGGCGTTGTATGTTTCAACTTTTTTAAAAATAAATACATGTTGTTGTATTCAACAATTGTAATAATTTTCTGAATTTATATCTGCAGGGTCTCAGTGTTGTGATCCTTTTGAGACTGGAAGCCGAGTGTTTTCTGATGCGTTTCATAAGGATTTTCACAGTTCTTTCAATGATTCACAACATAAATTTATGCATGATAACAGATGGCCCAAGCGACATTCATTCTATTCTGATCACAGTCTGCACTTACGGAGTATTGAAAATTTGGAGCGTGAAAGATTAATGTCTTTATATGATGTCCCACCCAGCAGAATTCGCAAAGTTGAAGCATTCAAATGTACCAAAAAGCATAGCTTAAGTAGTGTAGAGAACAAAAGCCTGGAAGACACTTCACCAAGTTCGTTTGGTTCAGGGAATACTGTTATATCTCGTAAAGAGGAACCGTTACAAAGTAATGGCATGCCATTGGACAAAAATAGTGAACAAAATATCTCAAGTCTCAGTATGATCAGTTGTAACTCAGCACTTAGTTTAGCGGAGAACTTTGACGAAAATCAAATGTATCTTGGTTGTAATACCAAAGTTTCTGCTAGTGCACCTGCTCTGTGTGGATATGGTGCTTACATTTCTGATCCCAGGAGAAATCTGACAGGGTCTGTGCCAAATAGAATTGATGAAGAAATTGACAAAATGGCTGATTATACCAGAAGACAAGACGCTTGGGATCGACTGCAGGGAGAAGAAGTTAACTTACAAAGGGAATTGTCACTTTTGGATGAAATATTGGAGGTTTTGTACAGTTATTTTTATTTGAATCAGTGTATGAAACAAAACTTTTATTTAAATGTCAAGAAATGTTTGGTCTAATTTTTATGATACAAGCACAGTGATCTCCCCAGGTCGTTTTAGCGTTGCGGCACCGATTACTGATTTAAGTAACTTAACTTAGAAATATATATCTTTTTGATGAGAAACAACTGGGACTAATACATTGAGTCCCAGGAAACAATGAATTTCATAAACATGATAAACAGAATAGTTTTTTAATTGAAAATTTATTAATAATTGATATTTTCTTTTCCTTTTTGATATAAAAAAAGTTCTTTTTTGTGCAAGATACTTAGTTGGTAGTTTCTGACAAGAGGAAAAATATAATAGTGTTACTATAAATGACTATTGAAGACATAAACTGAAACAACTGTTATACTTTAATTGTATTCTCAGTTATGAATTGAACAGTATTAAACATTATAAAGGAAATAGAGCATTGTCGCGACGTGACAAACAACATTGAAAAACGTGAATGTGTTCATAGTACACGGATGCCCCACTCGCACTATCATTTTCTATGTTCAGTGGACCATGAAATTGGGGTCAAAACTTTGGCATTTGAATTAGAAAAATCATAACATAGGGAATATGTGTACTAAGTTTCAAGTTGATTGGACTTCAACTTCATCAAAAACTACCTTGACCATCGTAGGTGGGGCATAAAAATACTGTTTATTTTTTTAGCCAAATGTGATGCTATCCAAAATTTCTGAGGAGAACACTGCAAGCATAATCAAATCGGACACAATTTATGAAAAAAATAGAAAGATATATAAACCATGGGGCTATAAGGCTTTGGGGAGGAAAATGGGCCTTGTTTCATTGTGTTTTCTTTTAAATATTTTTTTACAGTAAAATTGTCAATGCTAGAAACACCTACAATCAAATGAACCAAAGAATGAATGAATTATTAATTACATGTACATGTAGCTATAACAACATATCAGATAGTTTGGACACTATATATATTCTGTAAATAAATAAATTTCTAACAGCAGTTTGTTAATTATAAGACCACAATAGCTATTCTTGGTGCTATATTGTTTTTTTACAATGGTGCTATCTGAATAGATTTTATCATAGAATGTATTCAAAATGAGGGACTTTATTTTTGGGAAACCATGCTATTTCAAATCCCATGGTACTATTTCTTGAACATTTTTGTATTAAGTGTACTTTAGAGAACACTGATTAAGGTTCTTCAGAAAATGTTTTTCTAAAACAAATTCTCACAGGAAGGGCTTCAAATTTGAAGGTTTGAAAGTTTTTACAGAAGTTATTTATATTCATTATTCAAAAGTGGCATTTGTATAAAACTATAAACCATTCAGAAAAGTGATAAAGTTATCCATTATTATAATTAAGCATAAGAAGGCAAAAGACATGGTGTCAGTTGCAAGTGATTATTGGAAGAATGAAAGCTAATTATCTACACTCATTGCATACTTAAGTTATATTGTCACAAACAAACATTAGTAATAAAACAAAATAACTTCAGTTGAATATTTCAGTCAATTTTATTTTTAGGGTTGCAAGGTTGAGAGCAGAAAGAATCAACAGGAAAGTAAGAAGAGAGAAAGAAATAGACCTCCACCGTTACCTTGTCGTTCTACAAAACCAACAAAACGACCTACAAATATTAATCTGAATCCAAGAAACGTTTTAGAATACAATGATAGTTGTTTGAGTCCAAACCTGGCTAGTAAACTTAATAAAATACATCCTTGTTCAAAACTGTCAGCACCGCTACCGTATGTGAACTTAGAAAAATATGATATTGGAGATATTGACAAAAGTCATGTCTATGTTCCCGCCAGTGTACCTCCTAAAGATATCGGTAACTGGAGTGCTCCATGTTTTAGATCTGGAAGTTTTGATAATATGAATAACAAATTAGCGAACAAGGAGAATCGTAATAGTATTTCAAGGAGGAGTTCAAATAGTAGTGACTGTCTTCTAAATATGCATAATACTGAAGATTTTAAAGTGCCTTTGAGGGAAAATATTTATGCAAATGAAATTCCATTTGATAATAAAGATAATATACCACCTAAATTACCACCAAAAGGACCAAAACTGAAAGGTAAACAGAATCAGGAAGATATTCCGCCACCACTGCCAACTAGACGTCGAATAAGTGATGCACAATATCAAAATTCCTTAGATTTCCCCCCAAAACAAGAACACACTGAATTAATACGAGAAGAAAATTACCTGATGATGGGTAACTTTGCAAAAGAACCAAAACTTAATACAGGCAAGTTACAGGAAGAACTGGATTGTGAGCTTATGGTTAAATTACCAACAAGGATATCAAAACCTAAGAGGGACCCTCCAAAGCCACCTCAGGATGAACACTCTGAGGATTCTTCCAGTTGTTACATTGACATGGCTGGACAATTTCTACCAGAACCAAAAAAGGAGCCTGCCAATCAAAACTTAGATATAAAACCCCCACAATATTTCCGATCGAATAGTACATCTGCCATTACAGATCGAAAAGTCTTCCCGCCAAATTTCAATAATTCATTCAGTGGTACAACTGAAGTTAGTACAAAAGGACTTGTAAGGGAAGAAAACTATTTACTGATGTCAGCTTTTAAAACTCCTCCGAAATGTTCATCGGAAAGTTCAATTTCGAGTCAAAATACAGAGGATATGAAAAATGAATTAATTCTTGCAAAGGAATCATCAGATTCTCTAAGCAGCAGTGAAAGTCAAAGTTCAGAGGCAAGAGGTCAAAATACAGAACGGAAATCTTCAATTATACCTTTTCCAAATCTGATTAATTTTCAAAAGCATAATGTGATAAAATCAGTAAAAACACCAGAAAAACAAATTCCGCAAAGATCAGCATCAGAAAAACTGCATAGTGAAGGTGGCAAAAGTCCAGGTTTTCTTTCACGTCTCATTAGAAGGAATTCTGGGAATAGGAAGAGCATGTCTCAGAGTCAGGAAAACTTACTAGCGTCAAGTTCAAGTGAAAGTTGTTTGGAACGTGTTCACAATACAAGATCTCAAAATAAAGATGCAATATCCATTTCAAGTGGTTCTTCTCCAAGCAATAGTCGTAGAGCCAGTCAGCAGGATATTTCTATCATTGAGAGGCGGAGGTCGTCAAGTTTTCCAAATCGCTCAAGTTTCTTGGATATGTTACCTCAGGGTAGTAGTGAAGAAAAAAGGACACATCATGAATCTCAGGAGTCGTTTGTTTCTACTGTATCTATGGATGATCAGATGCAGTTGATTGTTTCTGAAGAAATGCCTTGCTCTTTGGATGCCGACAGTTGTGGAAATGGATCTGATAAATCCAAGCAATATTATATGGGACCATGTCAAAATAATGAAGAAGAAAAGAAGCGTCCTGAAATCCGGAAAAAAGTTAGTGATTTTCCCTCACCGAAAACTTCTTTAAAATTTAATAAAAATAATGTCAATAATGTTTACACTGTGAGACACGTTAAAAGAACATCGTATGAATATGAGAAACCTGAAAATACGAGTAAAACAGATGATGAGAAATTAATCGAATTATTGACACGTGATAAGAATAAGATCAGCACAGACGACTGTGATTCTCTGAAATTATCTGTTGATTGTAAACAGGAACAAGATGCTAGTCCTGTGAAAATACAAAAGCAGTCTCCTGCAGAGGAGGCAGCGGCCATTGCTCGTCTAGTAACATCTTTACCACCATTCATACCTCCAAAAATGAAAACTAATCCATGCTCACTTTCACCCGTACTAGAAAGTGCTCCATATACCCCATCATCCAGAAGTAACGGAACAAGTAATCTGACAGATACATGGAGATCCAGTCAAAGTTTTAAATCCTTTCATTCTTTGTCGGAAAGTATGAGCAATAGACGTTTGCCATCACATTCTGAAATTACTAGTGCAATGCTGAAAATTGTTGACAACAATCAAGGAAAAGATTTGTCTGTGTGGGTTAAAAAGTCCAGTGGTTCAGGTTAGTTATGATTCATAGTATGAATATCAAGTAGTTCAAAACTGTAATTACTATAGTAGATTTTTAAGTATAGAAAAATAGTTGCATGCCGGTAACTGAACAAAAGATGCACATGGCACATTCAGAAAACTGTTGTTATGACGAAAAATGTTCAAAAGTAAGAAAAATCTCTGACTTTAAATTTTATCCTATAATTTTCATAGAAATAATTGTTTTGAAATGGATAATTTTGCAATCGTTTTAGCGGCGCACGTGTTTGAGGCATAGTTTTACGTCCAGACTTTTTCTTTTATATATATTAAATATATTGTTTTGGCGAAAGAGGTGGCGAAAAAGAAAATTGACCCAGGGGAAACCCTGATGTACCTATTAGAAATACAAGGCATATTGTAAATCTGAAAAAAAAATTGTTATGACCAATTATTTTTTAGGCAATTGATGCATGAGACATTATCACTTTGATTATAAAGTTGTTTTACATGAACATGTATAACATAGATAGATAAATACTCTTGTTAAAGACTAATAAGATGCAAAAAATAGTATTATATTGTCATTTGTATTTACTTATTCAGTATACTGGAACATAAAAAAGGCTACAAACAGGAATTACCAAAAAAAATAGACAGTAAAAAAGAACACACCAACAACTTATTAATTCCTTCGAGAAAAAATAGACATAAAAACAAAGACATTTCAATAATAAACAACACATGAGCCAGACAGCTTGACTTAGAAATGTGGTGGGGTTGAACCAGATTAATATGCACACAAATCTCACCCTCTGCCTAGATTTAGAAAACGCAATAAAAAAACTGGAACAGTCCAGCTTCTAACAGAATGACAGCAAAGGCAAAAAAAGGAATTAAAGACCGCATATATAGTAAGCAAGATCAAAATGTGTATGCTACTTCAGAAATCTACCAGTAGTCATAGGTGTTATTTAAATACTGCTGCTCAGGAAGAAGAAAAAAAAGTTTTTGTACTGATAATTATTTCTGAACATGATATTCAAGGCATGTTATGAAATATTTTCATCTAATGTCTGCTAATCAATAATGACAATGAATGATACAACATCCTTTTAGAAAATACAGTTAAAAAAAAAGACTCGAAAATGTTTTTATGTATTTGGATATATTTACCGGATGACGGGAAACCTGTTTGTTTCAGTATATGTATGTGTATATATACTTAATAAAGTCATATGCATAAGGTATTGAATTAACTTAACTTTCACTATTTCAATTTTTTGCAGGTAAAACTGAATCAGTAGAAGAACAAGAAGAGAAATTCAAGGCAATTGTAATAGAAGTTGATGAAACACAAAATGATGATGACACAATGTCACTGTCTTCACAGGAAAGTAGTTTGGATGAAGGAACCAGGAGCAGCCCTGCATCAACCATTCTAAGGCCCAGATCAGGAAAGGAATACAAAATGATTGAAAGAATATACACGGGTACAGATAGCTTTACAACTAGTCCAGTACCAACACCGACTTCCCCCTCTGGAACCTCAGTTTTTACATTTGACAATTTTTCGGCCTCACCATCACAACAGAGCATATACAGTCACGATAAGGAATCTCTAGCTACTTCGAAAGGATCTCGACAGGATGATAATCCGCCAAAAGTGCCTGAACGAGGAAGTCCATACAGGGCTTATGTGAATATAACGCCACCTCCTTCACCTTTGAAAAACAGTAGCACAACATTGCAATCTGAAAGTGAAAGGCAATTAATATATGCAGAAATTGACTTGACTCTACCAACAAAAACAAGTCGTAAAACCAGAAAGCCTTCGATGAAATCTCAGAGATCTTTGGGAAATAATGTTGAATATGCTTTAATTGATATGGAAGCTACACAAGCAATACAGAGTGCTGGGCGTGAACATGCCCGAACACGAGAGGATAGTTCTAGTCTCAGGAGGGTTGATCGGAAGGCTTCATTGTCCAGCTTTAGAGATCGTAAGGCCTCAACTAGTTCTCCATCTCCAACTTTCAGAGACAGAAAAGACAGCTCATCATCTTCAGATTCTGGTCATGGAGAATAATCATGTTACAACAATTGTTGTCTTGTTCTGTGTGCTATTAACCACTTTTATTATCGATCTGCTGATATCCACATAGATCAGTGCTTCCGTAGTCTTGTTGAATGTTTTTGAAATCATCATTGTTCATATTGTTATAAAGTTGTTCTAGTCTTATCCTATGAAATGTCTTTGGGACCAAATTGGACCAATTTGGAGTTTAATGTCATTTATTTGTTTATCATTTTATATTGAGGCCAAGGTTAAATATACAAGTGGTTCTTTTTACACCTCTTTTAACATCTTATTTTTTTCATGTACAAAAAAATAATTGCAGTTGATAGAGTTCGGGTACAGTAAAGTAAAAAAAAAATATGAATTTCACAAATAATGAAGTATTTAAAATGTTATTTACACCTACCCTTTTTAACTGAACTATTACAGAGCTTGTATTAGGAATAACATTTATATTTTTCAATTTGGCCTTAAAAGAATGCAGGGAGAAATTCAAAGTTTTTGTTGATTGAATTAACTTATTTTTCACAGAGGGCGTGTTAAACACATGTTATGCTTCCTCAACTTAGTATCTTTTAAATAAATCAAATGTGATGTATTTGCATAATTTGCTAATCAAAAATTGTATGTTAAGGATTAAAATACCTTATACAATAAGGATACAATGAAAATGCTGTTTGATCTCTTATGTAAATCCATGGGTAAGTTTTGGGAAGGGGAATGAAATGGAACTTACTGTTTTAACTGCGCATTCTGTGTCCACACTTTCCTTATGAGTATCCAACAAACGCCCTGGTTTGCTTTCTGTTGTGAAGAATGCTTTGGGTTTGCCGCAATGATGCATAAGTTAAAAAATTTGGAGACTTAAATTTCATTGTTTGATAGAATAATTATTAGAATAGAAGCTAAATTGGAGCTTTGTTAGATCCTTGTAAGCAAAGCAGACATCACACAGAATCTGTATTTAATCAGATTTTAAATTGTAAGGAATAAACAGATAGTTGAAAATCCCATCTTGTCAAATACCATAGGTGTACACCTCTTTTTATCATACTTATAATAAGTTGGTTTCTGTACAACGAAATATGATTATGCGTGTTTTGTAGTGATATATAAGCTACATAGCATTTAACTGGTGCTTAGGTCACTCAAAATTATTTCTAGTATGCATAAAAAAAGCGCATTTGCCAAATTTTTATAAATAATAGGTTTTGTATGAACAAATTTTGGATCCAGAACATTTTTTACATAATATACTTGCATATATACTTTGAAATTTGTTCAGATATTAGATTGAAATATTTTCAAAATTGTTTTTGAAATTTTTACATTAGATCAATGAAAACAATTATGAAAAAAGAACTAGGAATCTTTTTTGTGTGGCCTAAAAGTATAGTTTTAGGTTGTTATATGTTATGAAATATCTGTATATTTTGAAATTTTATATATATATTTTAATGGTTTTTATATTCATACTACAAATGTTTTTCAGTAGCAAAAAATAGTACTAGGGAACAATAAAAATAGAACCAGTGTTATATTGGAAACCTGTGGTTGTGTTTTATATTTTCAAATACATGCTCATTAATTTATTTTTTAATCAGAAACTGCATCTTAAATTGTGCTTTAATAATTTATTTTTTTATGTAGATTTTTCTTGCAGGAAGATTTGATATTTGGATTTTTTATAAACAGAAACTTTAAAGGCTTTATTTAGACTTAAGCATGATTTTGTATTTTTACACATTAAATTTAATTTTTATGATACTTTATTAATTAATTTTGGTCTCTTCCACTTATTTCGTGTTCTTTGTGTGTGATAAAGTCTTGAAACTAATAGATATTTGTGTTTTTCAATCATTAATGCTAGTTGCTAAGAATCATGGAGAAATTGTATAATTATTTTGTCTGATCATTAATCATTTTTGTACTATTAAAGGCGACTTTTTTACTTTTTCTCTTATTAATATAACATAATATATTTTGTTAATTTTTCAATCAAGAACGGAAGTAGTAACTAAAACTGGAATGTTTTTTAGATTTCCAATGTTGTTTTTTTTATTCTTAACAGATAAATCTATTCTGAAATATTTTTCTGTTTTTATATTTTCAAATAGCAAAGTAGAGATATAATGTTATGTTTCTATCAATTTTTTTTTATCCTTATGCCTATCTATAGTAAATATGTGAGAGACAGAAATAGAATCAAGATTTTATGAAACATTCAAAAGCAGTTTGCTGTTTTTCGCTCAAATGGAAGAGACTATGCTACCACCAACTAAAAAATGAACTATTGCTTTCTTTTGATGCAGTTCTCGTAATTATCAAAAGATTTTCAGTTAAAATTTTTGAAGATTTATATATTTATGCCCTGCCTGCAAAAGTAGAAAGTATTTATTTTGTTTGTGCATTTGTCCATCTCAGGTTAAAGTTTGTGTTAAGGTAGATTACCAATGAAGTTGTGGTCACATTAAGTATAAACTTACTACATATTCTCATTATGATGAGAAATTTTTATAAGATATATACCAAATTAGGATTTTAACCCAGATTTTGTGGCTCATTGAACATGCAAATGCGATAATATGAGTGGGGCATGGTGTCCTAAAGGCAGATTCTCTTTTAAGAAAACTTCTGTATTTAGATATGAGCAACAATACACCTTATCATTATTTGTCCGCCATTACTGGACATCACAAAAGTTCCCTTATAATTTTGACGTCATAAAAGAAAATATCTGATGCTACAATGGAAAAGTGATTGTTGTATGACGTCAAAAGTTCAAGCAGGACAGATTCTCGGGTCAAGCGGGACAGATTTCCAAATAGCGATAAGGTGTATCTTAGAGCCAAAAATTCCACAAGATGTCTTAACCAAAGAATTGAAGTATAAATCAAGGTGGTTGCTTATACATTTGTATTTTTATTTCTAAAGAATTATGTTAAAAAAGGTTTTTATTGTTAAATATATATCATTATTACTATGGACATTCTGCACTTAAGTGACCCAACTGCATAATCCTATTTATTTATAATAAGAATTTATATAATTTTTTATAGTGTTTTCTTTGCTTTAATTTATTACTTAATTGTTTTTGAGATTCAAGTAAATCAAAAGGGGCCAAGATTTTAAATTTAGAAATTTTATTTAATGTAGGATTGTAAAAATATCCTCTGCCTTCATTGTTTATCAAATTTTACTTGGCCATTATATATTTTCAAGATAGAAGTATATGGAAGCTTAAAAATTGGCTATGTAATAAATATGAAATAAACGAAATTCAAAATGCCAATGAGGCTTCAAAATTATATAATGGGAAATTATCAAATTGCTGTATGAGCTACTTGCAAGGCTTTTTGCAAGCATGTGTCAAAAAGGGAGATAAATCATTTGAATGAAGAAAAGGGAAGATTTTAAACATTTCACAGTAAGTTGCTTATAGTAGTAAAAGAGATGATTTTTTGTGTAGAATAATTCAAGCTTGAACAGAGTGAGTTATTTGTGTGATTTTCTTTTAAACATTTATAATTAACTATAGCTTTATAATCAAACTTTATATAATTACTGTGCCAAGAATTGAATAGATATATACTTGAATGAATAAGTTACTTTGCCAAGAATTGAATATATATATACTTGAATGAGTAAGTTACTTTGCCAAGAATTGAATAGACTTTGCCAAGAATTGAATAGATATATACTTGAATGAATAAGTTACTTTGTCAAGAATTGAATAGATATATACTTGAATGAATAAGTTACTTTGAAATCATTTTGTGTGTACCTATTTTTGTTGAATGGAGAAAAATGTATTTTAATAAATACTTGATTTCATAGTTTTGGCAGTTCTATCTCCAATCAAGTTTATATGATACTTTTATTTTGATCTTGAAAAGTAGTACTAGAAGAATAGTAATGATTCCACAGTATGTGACTGTTACTAAACTGGAGTATATTAGATGCTTTACATATAAAATCTCAAATATAATTCAATGTTACCAAAGTCAAAAATCTTAAGGATTTTTATTCATTTTTAGCTCACCTGACCTGAAAGGTCAAGTGAGCTTTTCTCATCACTTGGCGTCCGTCGTCCTGCGTCCGTCGTCCGTCGTCCGTAAACTTTTACAAAAATCTTCTCCTCTGAAACTACTGGGCCAAATTTGACCAAACTTGGCCACAATCATCATTGGGGTATCTAGTTTAAAAAATGTGTCCGGTGACCCGGCCAACCAACCAAGATGGCCGCCATGGCTAAATATAGAACATAGGGGTAAAATGTAGATTTTGGCTTATATCTCTGAAACCAAAGCATTTAGAGCAAATCTGACATGGGGTAAAATTGTTTATCAGGTCAAGATCTATCTGCCCTGAAATTTTCAGATGAATCGGACAACCCGTTGTTGGGTTGCTGCCCCCTAAATTGGTAATTTTAAGGAAATTTTGCCGTTTTTGGTTATTATCTTGAACATTATTATAGATAGAGATAAACTGTAAACAGCAATAATGTTCAGCAAAGTAAGATCTACAAATAAGTCAACTTGACCAAAATGGTCATTTGACCCCTTAAGGAGTTATTGCCCTTTATAGTCAATTTTTAACCATTTTTCGTAAATTTTTGTAATCTTTTACAAAAATCTTCTCCTCTGAAACTACTAAGACAAATTTAACCAAACTTGTCCACAATCATCATTAGGGTATCTAGTTTAAAAAATGTGTCCGATGACCCCGCCCGCAAACCAAGATGGCCGACATGGCTAAAAAATAGTACATAGGTTAAAATGCAGTTTTTAGCTCATATCTCTGAAACCAAAGCATTAAGAGCAAATCTGATGAGGATAAAATTGTTCATAAGGTCAAGATCTATCTGCCCTGAAATTTTCAGACCAATCAGGCAACCCGTTGTTGGGTTGCTGCCCCTGAATTGGTAATTTTATGGAAATTTTGCAGTTTTTGGTTATTATCTTGAACATTATTATAGATAGAGATGAACTGTAAACAGCAATAATGTTCAGCAAAGTAAGATCTACAAATAAGTCAACTTGACCAAAATGGTCAGTTGACCCCTTAAGGAGTTATTGCCCTTTATAGTCAATTTTTAACCATTTTTCGTAATTTTTTTGTAATTTTTTACAAAAATCTTCTCCTCTGAAACTACTAAGACAAATTTAACCAAACTTGTCCACAATCATCATTAGGGTATCTAGTTTAAAAAATGTGTCTGATGACCCCGCCCGCGAACCAAGATGGCCGACATGGCTAAAAAATAGTACATAGGGTAAAATGCAGTTTTTGGCTCATATCTCTGAAACCAAAGCATTTAGAGCAAATCTGATGAGGATTAAATTGTTCATTAGGTCAAGATCTATCTGCCCTGAAATTTTCAGACCAATCAGGCAACCCGTTGTTGGGTTGCTGCCCCTGAATTGGTAATTTTAAGAAAATTTTGCAGCTTTTGGTTATTATCTTGAATATTGTTATAGATAGAGATAAACTGTTAACAGCAATAATGTACAGCAAAGTTAGATCTACAAATAAGGCAACATGACCAAAATTGTCAATTGACCCCTTAAGGAGTTATTGCCCTTTATAGTCAATTTTTTACAATTTTCATAAATTTTGTAAATTTTTGTAAATTTTTACAAAGTATTTTCCACTGTAACTACCGGGCCAAGTTCACTATAGATAGAGATAATAGTAAGGAGCAAGAACGTTCAGTAAAGTAAGATCTACAAACACATCACCATCACCAAAACACAATTTTGTCATGAATCCATCTGTGTCCTTTGTTTAATATGCACATACATTTGTAGACCAAGGTGAGCGACACAGGCTCTTTAGAGCCTCTAGTTGATACACCTTATTATTCCCTAGAAATTAAAAGTTATACAATATTCATTGTCATGCAAGAGTAATACAAAATAACTTCCATTTTACTTTAAGTTGTACATGTCACTAAATCTGATAGGTAAAATGTGAAAACAGAAATGATTTTCATAGCATTTTACCATAGAATCATCCGCCAAATTTTGAAAAATGAAACTGGACTAGAAATTTTCATTACAATCTAATAGTTGATGGATCAGGTTATAAACTAATTTTAGTCTGTAAACTGAAATCACTTGTGCTGAGTTGTTTATTAAATTTTCAAATTTCTTCTTAAATTCTCAGTATATATATGCTAATATCAAAAATGAAATTGTTTTTTATGCAATTTTTGTGTTATTTTAAATAGCATAAATTAAAAAAAAAATTATTAGCACTGCACTGCCCACCGAATTCTAAATTTGTTTTGTTAAACTTTGGAATCATAATCCACAGTGTAAGGGTGGTTCCAGAAAAATTGCTACAGGGGTGTTTCAAGGCACCTACTTCTTTATCCCACCAATGAATTTTTTTTTTTACAATTTTCAAATTAGATTTTTCTGATCACAAACAGAAATTTAGATAAAAGTGCCTTTAAAAACCCCCCAAATGAACTTTCTGGAATAACCCTAATTTAATTGCTAGATGTTGTGAACTTTTTAATTTATATGTTTTTGTTTAATGCACATTTATTTTATATAAGCATTTATTATCCAAAATGATTTACGTAATCGTAATGTGACCATTGTAGTCATATTTTTTTTGTTTTGTGTCCACCAGTCAATGTGTTGTAATGTATTTAGTGCTTTCTATGTTGAACATTTTATATCTGTATTTTGTATGTTAGTTCTTCTAGAACACATTGTTTTAGAATAAATTTATTCTCTGCTAGTTATTAGATTCTCTTACTTTGCCTTTTTTTGCCTGACATTTATTCATTTATTGCACCGCGGGTATATTATCACGTTGTGATTGGTTTAACGCTGTCACGTGGTGACCCCCTATGGATCCGTAGGGGGTTAGTAAATTTCATAGGGGGTGCATGACGTCACGTCTACTGTTAATTGTGACGTCATCTATTAATGTTGTTGTGTTTCATTGTTCGTTTTTCTACAAAACGCAGCAGAAAAAGTCCCGCGTTGATAAATTCGTTATACAGTTCACTACTGACCCCCTACGGACCATAGAGGGTGAATAAAATCCATAGGAGATTCCGCCTTCGGCCTCACCCCCTATGGATTTTACTAACCCTCTATGGATCCGTAGGGGGTCAGTAGCGAACCATATAACTATAGTATGAGGCATACATACATCAGTCCAGTGTGTTTCAATGCTGTGCTTAAGGTTTTTTTCTCTAAGTAGTCCAACTACTGTATCACTAGCCTGTCAACAGAGGTTGCGAGTTGGAACCCCTCATGTGGCAGGTGCATTCAACTCCATTATTAATTGACTAGGATTGTCCGTTTTCCTGTCAAAGGTTGGTGGTTGTGTCCTTGCACTCTGGCTTCCTCCAACAATGTGATTTTTCAGTATATTCCACAATTTTTGTCATTGTAACTGACATTTTGTTTCATGTATGACTGATAAAAAATGTTTCAACAATTCTTAGCTGATTTATACTTTCTCCAACTGGTTGATTCAAATTTTAGTTTGGTTGTTCTGTTTTTCATTGGTTAAAATTTAATTATGATGATAAATGTTCTTGTCTTCCTCTGATTTTACTATTGTATATAAAAATAAGAAGATGTGGTGTGATTGCAAGTGAGACAACTCTCCACAAGAGACCAAACCACACAGAAATTAACAACTATAGGTCACCGTTCAACAATGAGTAAAACCATTCCTGATTGCATCTCTCAGAAAGAATGCAATTTTTACATTGAAAAAGAACATTTGCCTAAATATTGCCTAAAAATCATGAGAGAAATATATTCTATGATCATATCTATCTCGTGTGATGCCATAATCCTCCCTACTTGACAATTTTAAATTTTAACTGTCTCAAGCGGATAAATATTGTATCACACTTGAAGCAGTCGTAAATCTACATGTATATAACTTTATTTCTTAAGAGAACCTTTTAATACTGTCAACAATAGTAGACCTAATACTTTTAAAAGCATTTTTATGTATGGGAAAAAAAAATTTAGAGTTCAATGTACATAAAGTCAGGAAGCAGTATGAGCCTCAATCGCACTAATTTTGAACTGAAATTCATAATTTTTACATAAAACTTTTATATACTGTGGATTCATTTATTTTTGTAGGTACCAATTTTTTTGTGGATTGAGGAAAACGTTCATTTTTGTGGATATTTGATTTCATGGTTATACCTAAGTCTGCATACAATTAAATTCTTGGTTCAACTGTACCCACAATACCCACAAAAAAAAAGTATTCCACGAATGGTAAAGAATCCACAGTATAAAGAAAAACATCTCAAAACAGCTACACAACAAGAGAAAAGGGTCTACACAATATGGCAAGAAAGATATGTTGTGTAACATAAGTCTCAGATAAATCAAACATACCGGTATACTATCAAAGTTCAATGACAGTTTTTCAAAGGTGTAATATACACATAAGGAGATGTGGTATGATAGTCAATGCACCTTATCGCTATTTAGTCCAATCAGGGAAAAAAAAGTCATTTAGACAACTTCCTGTTTGGGTCAAGGTTCGCAAAAACAAAAGAAATCAGTAACAAGCTAAGGAAGGAAAAAGTTTAGAAAGCGAACATTTTGAAACTTTGATAGATTATGATCCACTTTTTTGAAACACAAATTAAAGTGATAAAAATGCTTTATTGAAGTGTTTACGATGGTTTAAACATGCCTTTTGGAAAAGTTTTATGCATTATGCATTGTTTAAACAGGGTCCCAGATAGCTTCAACTGGATGAAAAAGTTGTGTAATTTCAGAACTTATCCGGATTGAAATAAATAGCGATAAGGTGTTACATATATATACATGTGACCACCATCAAAGCAAAGGACAAGGATTTAAACAACTACATGTCACAGAAAAGATTTCAGCAATGTGCAAAGTTCATACTGCATAGTGTGCTATAACAGGCCCCAGGATAACAAAATATGAAACATTTAAGAGAGAAAACTAGCAGCTTGATAATATCAAATAATGGACATAAAACATTAATGAAAAAAAAAAACCCATTGACAACCACTTGACTACCTACTCCTGGCATAAAGAATGATAATGAAGCTAAAGTCGAACTATTTGGCCTTTTTTGAACAAATTCATACTTGTCATTTAAGGTTTCCATGTTTGTTTGTATTTTGGTTTAGAAATACAAAACCAATACAAGAGCAGGCTGTTCAGGAACCATGATGTGGCAAAATTAATATATATAGTTATAATGTCATAGAAAGTACACTTGAAGCATTTTCATGAAAAAATACTGATTAAGAAAAGCCTACATATGCTTGTTAGCGCTGAAGGGTAAAGATTGCATTCATTTTGCAGTGTTAACTAAAAATTAAACATTGCAATCTATTAAACATTATTATGAATAGTTGGAGATATAATTGTAGTTGTTTCATAAAGGAAGATAAAATAATAACTTCCAATTTTGAATATTATTTCAACAATGACATCATTGATATTTTTAGAACAGACACTAGATTCCTGCACCATGTAAAATTTTTATAATTTTCTTGATAGATATGGTTATACACATACAAATCATTTTGCAATTGAGTATCCGAGTACATATTTCATTGACAAATTTCTTCATCAGTTGGATGTATAGAATTTTGTGATCAATGCACTATGTTTTGTGAAAACATGTTGTATATCAAAAACAGTAATAATAAAATGCTCCGCTGGGCGCAGCTTGATACGACCCCAGAGGTCAAAACCTGAACAGTTGGGGCAAGTAAGGACACAACATTCAAGCTTTATACAGCTCTGAATTTGGATTGTGATTAAATATTTGACACAGCATAGGTTTCTGACACAGAATGAATGTGGTCTAAGAACTTAAAAAATTTTAATTTACCTATTATGGTCCAATATCCAAAATCTAAATACATACATGGTTAGATTCAGCATATCAAAGAACCCCAAGAATTCAATTTTTGTTAAAATCAAACTAAGTTTTATTTTGGACCCTTTGGACCTTTATGTAGACCAATTTGAAAACAGGACCAAAAATTAAGAATCTAAATGCACGGTTAGATTCAGCATATCAAAGAACCCCAATATTTCAATTTTTGATGAAATCAAACCATATCATTATTATTTGCTTTTATATATGAATAAAATGCTCCGCTGGAGCGCAGCTTGATACGACCGCAGAGGTCCAACCCTGAACAGTTGGGGCAAGTATGGACACAACATTCAAGCTTGTTACAGCACTGAATTTGGATTGTAATTAAATATTTGACACAGCATAGGTTTCTCACACAGAATGAAAGTGGTCTAAGAACTTAAAATTTTTTAATTTACCTATTCAAACCATATCATTATTATTTGCTTTTATATATAAATCAGAAATAACCAATTTAAAATGGAAAATTTTAAAGAAAAAAAAGGAAAAAAAAATCCCCCCCCAATTTTTCAAACCCCCTTATGATTTATCACCCCCAAACTCAATCCCAGCTTTCCCTTTGTGGTATGGTACCTTGCAGTACAATTTCAGAGAGATCCATACACTTGAACACAATTTATTGTCTGGAAATTAGAAAAAATGCTTGTTTTTTGGCCCCTTTTTGGCCCCAAATTCCTAAACGTTTAGGGCAATTACCCCCAAACTCAAACCCAGCTTTCCCTTTGTGATATGGAACCTTGTAGTACAATTTCATAAAGATCCATACACTTACACACAAGTTATTGTCATGAAACAAGAAAAATGCTTGTTTTTTTCCCCTTTTTTGCCCCCAATTCCTAAAATTTGGAGGCAATTACCCCCTAAATCAATCCCAGCATTTCCTTTGTGATATGGAACCTTGTGATACAATGTCAGAGAGATCCATACACTTACACACAAGTTATTGTCATGAAACTAGAAAAATGCTTGTTTTTTTACCCTTTTTGGCCCCTAATTCCTAAAATTTGAAGGCAATTACCCCCAAAATCAATCCCAGCATTCCCTTTGTGATATGGAACCTTGTGGTACAATGTCAGAGAGATCCATACACTTACACACAAGTTATGTCTGGAAGTTACAAAAATGCTTATTTCTGGCCCCTTTTTGGCCCCTAATTCCTTAACTGTGGGTACCATAACCCCCAAAATCAATCCCCACCTTCCTTTTGTGGTATTGAACCTTATGGTAAAATTTCATTGAGATCCATTCACTTAAACTAAAGTTAGAGTGCAAAAACTAATGTGTCTTCGGACATCGACGACGACGACGACGCCAACGTCATACCAATATATGACCACAAAATTTTTTTTGCGGTTGTATAATAAAAAATAACCAACTTAAAATGGAAAATTTTAAAGAAAAAAAAAAAAAGGAAAAAAAAAAATTCCCCCACCCCCCAAATTTTTTGAACCCCCTTATGATTCATCACCCCCAAACTCAATCCCAGCTTTCCCTTTGTGGTATGGTACCTTGCAGTACAATTTCAGAGAGATCCATACACTTGAACAAAAGTTATTGTCTGGAAACTAAAAATGCTTGTTTTTTGCCCCAAATTCCTAAACCTTTAGGGGAATTACCCCAAACTCAAACCCAGCTTTCACTTTGTGATATGGAACCTTGTAGTACAATTTCATAAAGATCCATACACTAACACACAAGTTATTGTCCTGAAACTAGAAAAATGTGTTTTTTTGCCCCTTTTCGGCCCCTAATTCCTAAAATTTTGAGACAATTAGCCCCAAAATCAATCCCAGCCTTCCCTTTGTGGTATGGTACCTTGCAGTACAATTTCAGAGAGATCCATACACTTGAACACAAGTTATTGTCTGGAAACAAGAAAAATGCTTATTTTTGGCCCCTTTTTGGCCCCTTATTCCTAAGCGCTTTGGACAATTACCTCCAAACTCAATTCCAGCTTTCCCTTTGTGATATGGAACCTTGTAGTACAATTTCAGAAAGATCCATACACTTACACACAAGTTATTGTCATGAAACTAGAAAAATGCTTGTTTTTTTCCCCTTTTTTGGCCCTAATTCCTAAAATTTAGGCAATTAAACCAAAAATCAATCCCAGCATTCCCTTTGTGATATGGAACTTTGTGGTACAACGTCAGAGAGATTCATACACTAACACACAAGTTATTGTCTGGAAGTTACAAAAATGCTTATTTTTGGCCCCTAATTCCTTAACTCTTCATCCATTCACTTAAACTAAAGTTATAGTGCGAAAACCAATGTGTCTTTGGACGACGACGACGTCATACCAATATACGACCGCAAAATTTTATGCGGTCGTATAAAAATCTGGAAAATTGATAACTATCAAGCCAGCCACATAACGGTTTTGCTTGCATGAATGCAATCCTTACCCCCCAAAAACTGCAATTTTACCACTTTTTCCTATTATATCTACACCCTGTATGCACACTACCTTGAGGCCACTGACACATATATAGAACTGTCTGCATAGCAGAACTAATACCCCCTGTACACACCTTTTAGTTGCTGCTGTGAAATTCAGTATTGAGATTTCTGGTTGTCGGCCATTCATTTTATATAATCATTGCCTGTGTTAGACTGTAAAATGGTAACTGATAGGTCAATCTGAAAATTTTATACTGACCCTGGAACAATTTTTGAGGTATACTGTAAATTCAAAAATTAAAGGTCAAAGTCAAGGTCAGTATTATGCTTCTGCATACAAAGTGTTCTCAATCTTAGTTGTACAGTATAAAAGTTATGCACCAATCACAAATCATCCAATGTTTTTACTATAACATGGTCAAAGGTCAAATTCAAGGTCAGTGACCAGAATTTAATATATGACCCCCCCCCCCCCCCCCCCCAATCCCATGATGCATCAGCATACAGAGTTTGGTCAACCTAAGTTCTATGGCACAAAAGTTGTGTGCAGGACACAAATTGGATAAGGTTTTACTATCATAGGGCCCAAAAGTCAGTGATCTGACTTTGGCATATGACTCTCCTTAAGCCCATGATGCAGTTTGGTTAACCTAAGTTTTATGGTTCAAAGATATGTGCCAGACATGAACTGGACAAGGTTTTACTGTAATGGGGTCAAAGGTCAAAGTGACCTGACTTTGGTATATGACACACTCCCAGACCATGATGCAACTACTTTCCTTAAGTTTGGCTAACAAAAATTTTACTGTTCAAAAGATATGCCCATCAGAGTTTTACTATCATTGGGGTCAAAGGTCAAAGTCAAGGTCAACTTGATGCAACTACATACCAAGTTTGCTTAACATAAGTTTTGTGGTTCAAAAGATATGCACTGGACAGGGATCAACTATCATAGGGGTCAAAGTCAAGGTCAGAGTGATCTAACTTTGGTTTATGACACACCCCAGCCCATGATGCAGCTGCATACCAAGTTTGGTTAACCTAAGTTTTACAGTTCAAAAGATATGTGCTGAACAGGATTTTAAACATGGTTTTAATATCATAGGGGTATGAGTGACCGGACTGGTATCAGACACACTCCCACCCTATGATGCAACTGCATACCATATTCGATTTTAGTTCAAAAGTTATGTGCCGGACATGAAGCAGGACGGACAGACGAACATGGTGATTCCTATATCCTATATACCCCCAAACTTTTTTGTGGTGGTGGGGGGGAAGGGGGTATAATTAAAGATTCATAACAGACTTACTTCATAATCATTCCTGTACAAACACACAACTTTAAGGCTGATATACATATCATAAGAAAAACACAAAAATCTTTCTTAAATTTAAATATTTATTTCTGTAAAAAAGCAAAACAATATAAATATCACAGTCTTTATGAACACATCTGGTAGAGATCTGTTAAAATGATAAGATAATCCTTTAAGCTGCCACTTCAAAATGTAAAATCAAGCATCCATCTACTCTGATTATAATTCTGTGACCTCTGTCAAGTAATGTAGTCATCTTAAGTAGTTCAGTCATAAAAACATATCAATGTGATAGGTGATAGACAATATTTCAAGTGTATTCTGAGATTTATAATGTAAAGGCAGATACAACCTAAATTGGCAGTTTCCTTTTTCTAATGAGGTTACCCAAGTTAGGCAACTTATACATAGAAAGGAATAATATACCGTAATAAAATGTTAAAACAATGCTTAAAAATCATGGATATTTTTAGAAAGTTTAGACTTTTTAATTGTACATTTTGATCATATAATGGAAACTTTAAATTGAATATGAACATGTATATGAACTACGTGTATATGATAGAATAACAGAATATAGTTTGTCAGCAGACTGTTGGTCCTGGTTAACAATGAATGCAAAGATTCTTTTTCCAATCAACATCTGCTTTTTTAAGGGTATTTTTAATCTATTGTTTAAAATTTAGTTCTATATCTTCAAAAACTTCAGTAATCATCTTAATAATTATAAAACAAAATCAACAATTACATCTATCACAAATGAGAAAAGAATCGTCATCGAGAGTAGTCAAACAATTTCTAAACAAATGTAGCTTTGAAATAAACAAGCACTACTGTTCAAAGCTAATTATGAATAATATTGTGATTTTAATGAATATTTTCCCTGAGTTGGCTAAGAAAAATCAATAAAAATATTGAATAATTAGCCCTTTGAATTTAACCTATTAGGTCTATGAAGTTGAAGTGTGAACCATGTATGAACTCTTCTATGATACATAATACATCAGACTATATCTGGCCTATATCCATTAAAATGAAGGTGAAGTGCTATGCCTGTTGTTCTTTATCTTTTAGTTGCAGAAATGAAACTGCCATCTTGATGGCAGTGCCAATGTTTATGTCATTTTTTAATAGTATCAATTTTTATGTTTTTGTTGAAGATCCCATTAGAGTTATCTGATATGCATATTTTCTGGTATACAGTTTCTGTAGCATATTACATCTCATTGACCGATTGTTTTTTTATAATGATCTGCCAATAGTAAAGGCATATCTATTTTCTATGAACTAACATTGTTGATTTGCTGTCTCATTGACATTTACAACACATCTCATTTCATTTATATTCAACATTCATTCTTGAAGTTACCATACAGAAATAAATCACAAATGTAAATCTGAAAATTCTGTTAATGTTTTAGAAGTTGTGGACAATATGGTCTGGCAAAGCGGGGGCATATAATACAACAGAAATTGTATATCACAGCCCCTCACTTTTTTTTACTGGTGGGGACTACATAAGATATGATTCATGATCATGATGTTCTAGATCCCCATTAATACAGAATAAACTGATAATAAAAGTTTCTGAACAATCAGTAATCATATATTCAGTTCAAACAAAACTAGACTATTTTTCTTTTTTTCTTAAACATTTTGCCTCTGACAGTCTTCAATCTCTGATAAGCTTTCTTTATTTCAGCTTCTACATGCAAACCTGAATGAGGATTAAAACATAAACATAAACACAATTATACAGATCTTGTAACATTTTAACAAATATGCAAATATCTGATAAATGATGATGGTAACATAATAATTACTTACAAATGCAATAAATCAATTACAGTCATAGAATCATTACAAGTGGTGTTTCCTAACCTTTACAGTAAAAAAACAATTACAAGTGATGTTTCCTAACCTTTGCAGTCATAGAATTATTACAAGTGATGTTTCCTAACCTTTACAGTCATAGAATTATTACAAGTGATGTTTCCTAACCTTTACAGTAAAAGAATTATTACAAGTGGTGTTTCCTAACCTTTACAGTAAAAGAATTATTACAAGTGATGTTTCCTAATCTTTACAGTAAAAGAATTATTACAAGTGGTGTTTCCTAACCTTTACAGTAAAAGAATTATTACAAGTGATGTTTCCTAACCTTTACAGTAAAATAATTATTACAAGTGATATTTCCTAACCTTTACAGTAAAAGAATTATTACAAGTGAAGTTTCTTAACCTTTACAGTAAAAGAATTATTACAAGTGAGGTTTCCTAACCTTTACAGTAAAAGAATTATTACAATTGATGTTTCCTAACCTTTTTAACAATAAAAGATTTATTACAAGCAATGTTTCATAACCTTCACAGTAATAGAATTATTACAAGTGATGCTTCATAACCTTACAAGTAAAAGAATTATTTCAAGTGGTGTTTCATGACCCTTTAACAGTAATAGAATTATTATAAGTTATATTTCATAATCTATATAACACAACAAAACATATTATAAGCAATGTTTAATGAAACATTTTGATAGAACAGATATCAACTTTACTATGTTACAAACAAGTTGCTACAGTTTTGAGTTTATACAGTGTGTTATATGAGAGTTATTAGCAATTGTATTGCCTGTAAGGTCATGTGTTGAGTTACAATAAATTATATTATTAGAGTTTTGAACAAGTATCTCAATATTATCAATGACATTTCAAAAACCTTTTTAGACATTAGTTGAAATAAAGGACAATAAACTGTTTTCTGATGTTACTAAGGACACATAGTACCTTTAATATTTGTAAATCATGCATCAAACATTTGAAATACAATTTTTCTAAGTGTACAAAGTTCATCTTTTTTTGCAGCCCATCACATACCTTTCATCTATGTATAGTATACAATTGTACATGAATCATACAGGGTACCAGTCAATTATATGGGAGAGCAGTGTGTCAATATTTCTTGTTTTTCAAAAGCTTGTGCTCAAAAGTTTTAAACAACTTTTATTCAGAATACTCTTTCTTCATTTAGGAAAAAACCATGATAAAAATATTTAAATCTCTATAAATTACTATTTAAAATTTTTTTTTTAATGTTTTTTAATGGGGCGGCTATGTCCCCGTCTGAATATGTCAGAATGTTCTGTCGTACAAACAACAATCATTTTGCAATTAGATCGCACAGATAAATTTTTTATGTTGTATTTTAACACATTTATTAAAGGGCTGTTGGAGAAGTAATTGTAAACTGTAATCAGAAGGCACATTTCTTAAAATAAATCTTGCATACAACTTTATTTACTATGACATATATATTTTGACCTCTTTACCTTTTAGAAATAATATGCACTTCAAATACATCAAATTTTAATTGAAGTGTTTTTTTATATAGTTTCAATTATATCTTAAAAACCCCAAAATATATACTTCATAACAATACAAATATGAACTTAGAACATATGTTAAAAATTTGGCAAATTTAAACAAGCGCTTGTTAAACAATTTATTTCAATTTTTTTTATACATGATTACTTTTGCAAATGTTATTGTTTCACTATTAAACTTTCACTTTCATAGATAAAACATACAATTTCAGCAGTCAGATTTTGATGTTGTCTACAGCAAACAACATTTGTTAACCAATTTTCGTACAACTGGTCAATTCAATTGTATCAGGAACTATTTAGAATACTGTGAGCTGACTTCACAAATACTGTACATCAATTCATACACATTCTCTTCCTTAATGGTATAGTTATGATAATTAAAAATGGAACCTTAACAATACTTTTATTAGGTACTTGGGATTACTTTAAAGATCCATTGAAACACAGTTACGAGTTTTGGAAGGGGTAAAATATGTCTTCCCCCTTTCACAGTAATGGTTAACCTTGGAATAAAAATACATTATGAGGTGTACCACACCATTTGGAGTTGATATTAACTTAAAAAAATCCTTTACATTCAATCAATTATAAATAAGCAATTGGAGAATTTAAGTGAGGAAAGATTAACAAAAGAAATGAACACACCAACCATTAACACCTCTCACTTCAGTAAGCAGTAAAGGGGTAGGGAGAGGATTTATAAAAAAAAGTTAGGAACTGACATCAATACTTCTAAAGTTAAATTTAAATGGCCCGATTGAGATGTCTTTATCTTAATTTATTGAAGTTGCTTCATAGCAATTTAAAAATTAAGAGATGTGTTATGATTGCTAAATAAGACAACTATACACCAGAAACCAAAGGACAAGGATATAAACAACCAGAGGACACTGAACAACCTTCAACAATGAGCAAATTTTTTACTGCATAGTCAGCTATAAAAGGCCAAGCATGATAAAATGTGAAAACCAAAGGACTGATTTGTGCTTAAACAAACAAACAAGAAACAAATAAAGCAGACAGCAACCACTGACAACCTCTGAATAACAGGCTCCTGAATTTCAACACCTGATGTTTTTAGACTTTTAAAATCAAAATAGAGATTGACCACATGTGTGATAATTGGTTAACATGTTTATGGTTTACTGTTTAGTAGTCCTTTTACATTGTAAATATTCTAAATCAATAACTTAAACATGTTTAGATTCTTAATACAATGTAAATTATTCACATCTGTAGATAAAACAAACTTCGAATGAAATATTATCAACATTTATACATGTAATAATGATTTAGTAACATTTGTACTCCGGTCTTTCAGACATTATTAGTATGTGGTAATGATTCAGAACATAATCAGACATGTATTTTAGATATTACAATGTAATGGTAATAATTAAGGAGCATAGTCAACTATGCAATCTAGTTATATTACAATACTGTAGTAACAACTTATTAACGATGCATAATCAGTCATGCTTTTTACATATTTACGGTTCTCTAGGTAAAAAAAACTGAATAAGAAATGAAATAAAAATGCTGATAATTATAACATTCAAAATAAACTGCCACAAAATTCTATAAACCATTGTAACAAATAGAGTAATATAATCATGCTTAAATTGGGATAGTTTTTTAATATTTTTTATCATACTTGATATTGTACACATATACAGTAAAACTACCAGGGTATGTGCATTAGTGTTAATACAGCGGTCAGAAAGACACCAAATAACAGAATCCCAAACACTGATAAACAATATTTTTGTCCGACGTAAACATTTTTTTTTAAGTACGCCTGAAAAATTTCACAGAAACCATTTGTAGCGTCCATACACTGTGCATACTGTATAAGCATGAAACTAGTCCTCTTTAGCAACTCTTATTAAATAAAACCATCTATAATTTTGTATTAATCAGCAGTGTTTATCTGTCTCAAAACTTTCATTGATCACCAATTTTTAAATCAAAATATTTATTTCTTCTGTTTTTTTTTTTCATCACCATTTTTTCAATAAATAATGTTGGTACTAACCTAAATCCATTAAATTTACTTGTGTCAATTAATGCTGAATTTTGATTATTTACCCTAAAAGCAGAAGCACTGTTTTTCCAAAACTATTACAAGTTGTGAATGTTTGATTAATATTGGACATTACACTTCCAAAATTCTTAGAATTTTCATTTTGTCAATTGTTTTTTACAATATTGTATTGTTTAAAAGGATAATGCCATCATTCTAAGCATTATGAAAGCTTTTCAAATTACAATTTAGTCTAAATGCCAGTAGCCTCACTCAAACTTCTTTTCTAATAAATCTATGTTTCTTGGGCAAAAACATGAAACTTTGAAAGAGTCTCACAATATTACTACAAAAACAACATTATAAAGATATGAAAAGGTATGTAAACAGTATCTTAAAAATGGCAGTTGTGATAAATTTGAGAATAAATTATTTTATTCAAAACCTAACAATTTATGACTTTGAAAAATATGATAACGCAGCAGTCTTATGCCTTGCTTGTTCATCTTCATTTAGTATCATTCATATCTCAATTTTCCTCAAATTTCTAAACTCTGTATATCAAAAAAATGATCAGATATATATTATCATGATTATTTCTATATTAAGTCATCCAACATCCGAAATAATACTGAAAGATTGATATAAATAGTTAAAAATATACATAGTGTATTTATTAAACATGAGTCTCAACTGTATGAATTTAGAAAAAGTATAATATACAAAAACAAGAATGTGTCCATAGTACACGGATGCCCCTCTCGCACTATCATTTTCTATGGTCAGTAGACCATGAAATTGGGGTAAAAACTCTAATTTGGCATTAAAATCATAGGGAACATGTGTACTAAGTTTCAAGTTCAACTTAATCAAAAACTACCTTGACCAAAAACTTTAACCTGAAGCGGGACCGACGGACGGACAATGGGAAAACAAACTCTCATTAAAAGTTAAGTGATATTAAATGCTGAATATCATGTGATATGTATCCAAATACTAGCTGTTCAGTGTAACAAGAATGTCCCAAAGGCTTACAATTCTACACAGATTGTGTCAACTGGAATGAAAGGCAAATTTAATCTGCAAAAATCAGAAAAAGTACAGCATAAAGAGGGAAAAAAATAAAACATGTAATGCTTTACACAAAAAAAATTCAGCTCTGACAATAGGTCCATACTAAGACACTTTGTATGACAAGAAAACATGAAATTGATTTCATTTCAGAATAATGGAAAAAGAAAAGAACAAACTATGGATATGACATGCATAGACCATTCCAAAGCTGATAAAATAACTGACATCCATGCAAACCTATGTAACTACAAAGACAAACTGTGCAGGGTAAACAAGATTTACAAGCATCATAACCTGAACTTCAATTAAATAGGGGACTGTTGAATAACCCTAATCCTTAAAATAAAACAGAACCTTGCAGTCAATCGTAATTAACTTCACAATTAAGTAATATTTAATCAATTACTGAACATGTGAGTTTACCAAAAGTCCAAATCATGATTGTGAGGATTTATTTGAAAATATATTTCATACTAAGATAAAATATTTTTCAGAAGTAGGAACAGAAGTTCAGAAAACAGACAAACACAACTGACTCAGCATCAAAATATCTGTTTTGTAGGAGATTTTAATATAAAAAAGCCTAAACTGAATAGAAAACAACATTTTGCTACTTTTTCTTCATCTATGATGTTATATTAGACTATGAACACTGACCATTTTGACCCTCATATTTTATTCCTATCTTTTCTTTTGGTATGTTGATAACAAAATCCTATCTTATAATAACGATATCTTTTATAGAAACATTAGTGATATACAACATACAAATAAGATGTTCTCATCAGTTATCACTTTGAAATATTCAGTAACAATTATACATCAAACTGTTCTATTTTGGGTCTTCAGTTCTCCTTTAAAACTCTTTAAAAATAAGTGCCTTCAATTCTCCTTGAAAAAAAAAAAACATAATTCTAATGTATTTTGACCAGTTTCCTCATTCTGTCAAAAGTGGAGTTAAACTTTATTGTATATAAGAACTAATTTTCAATTCAGTATCACAAACTAAGTTATATATACATGACAAATCAATCACGAAGGTAACAGAGGTTTGTATTTGCACATATCCATGTTAAATTATCCACATCAACTATATTTCTGTTGGTCCATCATTACTTCGTGCCGTCGTTTATTTATTGCTTCATTATTCTTCTGAATCTTCTTTATTCTTTCTTCAAGATCATTACACTTAAATCCTGAAATTAAATCCTCAATTTACAGATAAAACTTAGATAGATGAAGGCCCTCAAAGGATTTTGATTTAAACATTGGAGAACATTATACAGAAAATCTTTGTTTTGCCTCGCTGATCTTGATCAACATAAAATGGGAACATTCAATGCATATAAAAAATTATGAGCAGATAAATACTTTGTAAATACATTTGTGTTTCATAATACAACAAAATGTACAATAGCTATACAATATTTCATATTTTCTGTGTGCTTGTTAATTTTTTTTGGTCATTGTTCATAGAATTGAGTTCTCTATCATAATCTGAAAAGCAAACTTATGGTATATCTCTTACCTAATTTTAGTTTTGGGTTCAATCATACAAGAGTTATTGTTTCAAATAATTTCCGACATTGGTACTGTCACATTATCTGTCAATCATGTTTTCTTTATGAGTAAGATGACTACAGTTAACAAAACTGACATTTATTATTTGTGGCTTCATTACTAAAATGCAAAATTTCACCAGGAACGCTCAAATCCCAACGTTTTAAAGCCAAGGATGTATAAATACCTAGAAACCTTAGTTGCTATGTGGGCAAAACAGACCTCAACAGAATAGCCAAGTTCAGCTAAGGTAATTGTTAATGGGTAATTTGAATACCTGATTTTGAAGTTCATTGGTCTTGTTCATCTGAAGATCGTCTTGGCTTTAAATGCAAAATTTCATCAGGAGTGCTCAAATACCAACATTTTAAAGCCAAGGATGTATAAATACCTAGAAACCTTAGTTGCTATATGGGCAAAAGACCTCAATAGAATAGCCAAGTTCAGCTAAGGTAATTGTTAATAGATAATTTGATTACCAGATTTTGACGTCCTTTGGTCTAATTCATCTGAAGATCTCCTCCTTTCTGGCCTAACTTTATCAGCAACAGATGACCGTACTTTTGGTCTGTCATCAATTTTTAGTTTCTTGGAAGGCCTATCATCATCATATTCTTCCACCCTCCTTGACTTTGTGATAACTTTTCTGTCATCTGACAACTGTTTACCAAGTCTGTCGTGGACGGACACCTTTGATTTTTTGACGGCTGAGTTATTTTCATTATCACCTATATGTGAAAACAAGGAAAATGTTTTGTTCATTGTGTAGTCTTTAATATACATGAACTTTTTTTATTCTCATCAAATATGATAAGGAAAATACATTTACGATAATTTAAGGAAAATACACTTATGATAATGATAATTTAAGGAAAACACATTTATGATAATTTAAGGAAAATACATTTATGATAATTTAAGGAAAATACATTTATGATAATTTAAAAAAATATCAAAGTATAACACTCTATTGGATGAGACATATTTGTGTGAAAAACATCAGGTGAAATCAATCATGTGATTCATGAAGATATGGCAATTAACAAAAGAACACACTGCCTTTTTCTCAAGATTCATACAATTTAGGTCAACTAATGTTTTGTATGTGAACATGTTAATATCTAAATGTGATGTTTCAAGTTTTAAAAAAGATTATTTCAAATAATTTTTTAAAGTTTACAAATTTATGCAACCTGCTAGTCCCTGATTCTGTGAAATAATTGAAACCAAATCTGTAGTTGAACATGAAGGATTTACAGATATAGTTCGTTTGACTTTGAGCTCTATAGATCTTGAAAAATAAAATATTTAAACGAGCTTTTCTATTATGCTTTGTTTTGTGCGGTGTATTTTTGTCTATGTAGCATATGAAAGTCTGTAAATTAATTTCAGAATTTTTGCACAAGTGAATATAAAGTTGTCCATTAGGTTTAATTTTAAGAATTTATTATCAAGATATATAAAATTGATTGAAACAGCAGTTGGTCACATAATAATACAAATATCAAAACTTTTTCTCTTGGTCAAGTTCCTATCATTTGTGTGCAGGTAACAGTGTTTAAATCCCACCACATTGTGTGCCTAAACCAAGTGAGGGTATCTGGACCATGTGTTATTCATATGTCTGTTTTTTCAGGAGTCAGCTGTTGGTGGTTATTGTTGTCTATTGAACTGTCTCATATTATTCATGTTATTAGTAATTCATGTTATCCATTTTATGTATTATTTCTTAGTTGAAAATTGTACAGGAAGATGATTACACAAATTTGGTACCCACCATCCAGAATGTTGCTTAATAAGTTTCATGATGTGGAAAATCTGCAAAAATTCTGTCTGTGCACATAAAGTGAGGTGCACATCTTCCTTGTTTATTGTTTCCCTAGAAGATGTTAGAAGGCTCATAGTTTAAAACTGTATGAAGGGTTGATTACACAAACTAGGAACCCACTTTTCCCCCTGACTTAACCTCCCCCTACTCCACTTCATGTCGTCTTCTTATCCACCTACTCAACATTCATCATATTTCAAGCAGCCCAGCCAATAAAAAACCCTTTGTATGGCCTTACATCTTACCTGTACTTAGGGTAACCGTTACTGTTGGACTCTTTGAACGACCTTTATCAGATCTCCTTTGACCTAATGCTGTTGAATCTTGTTCACCATCATCAGTAGAAACTAGTCGTGTTCTCTTCTTTCCATTATCGTTAATCTCTATCTTTAGCGATCTACTTTCCCCATTGTCTTTAGACTCAAAGTATGATTTCCGTGAATCTGACCTTTTGTGACTAGAATATCTTCCAGAGTCTTCATCATCACTCATTTCAACGAATATTTTATTTCTATGTTCTTTAAATCTATTGTCTCTTTGTCTACGATTTTGCCAACTATTATCATTAAAGTTTCTGTGGAAGGAATTTGATTCAGTGTCTCTACTTGTCCTCCTGTTGTGAATTCTCTCTTGCTTAATTCTCTGTCGCCTTTCCCTTTCAATATCTTCTTGCATTCTTTCAGACTTTCTAGATTTTTTGTTCCGCCATGTTTGACTGTCAGAATCACTCTCACTGTCACTCGACAACATATTCTCTGAGCTACTAGAACTGTCAGATTCATTGTCTACATGTTTCTTTGGTGTAATCTTTTTCTTTGAGTCAGATTTTTTATCTGTGCTGCTAGTTCTTCTTTTCTTTGGAGTTTTAAATTTTTCAGTTTTCCCTACTTTCTCAATATTCATCAACTTTTGACTAGACTTTGTTTCACTGATTGCCGGTTCTTTCCCCATATCTTCACGTCCAAATGAAACTTTTTCACTTTCTGTCTTACCCCCAGTATCCTTCAGTTTTTTCTTCTTACCTTTAGTTACAATTCCTTTAAGTGATATTTTCTTTGACAACTTATCACTTTCAGGTACATTAGCACTTTCAAACTTCTTTTTCCTAGCTTCAAGTTTCTCATTCATATTTTCATCTGAAATTTTACCTTTTTTCTTTGGCATTTTCATAGATTTCTTAACTGTTTTGACCTGACCCTTACTTACATCTTTATTTGATTTGGATGTTTTAGAGCATGGTGAGCGAGACCTAGATTTCCATTTTCCAAATGGTGATACTGATTTATGCTGCTTTGGTGAATCAAGTTTATATTTCTTGGGAACTAAAGGAGACTTTGATCTTGAACGTCTTTTCCTCACTGGAGATTTTCTTCTTACTGGTGATCGTGACCAAGATTTTTTCTTTTCTGCACTAGTTGATCTTTTTCTTCTGATTGGAGATCCTGACCTGAAAGCCCATTTTGTTACAGGAGAACTAGACCCAGATTTCTTCACAATAACTGGTGATTTTGACCTCGATTTTCCTTTTGTAACTGGTGCCTTTTTTCTCTGAGGTGGAGTTATAGATCTTGATTTTCTCTTCCTAGCTGGAGGAGTTAAGGACCTTGATTGTCTTCGTCTGCCTGAAGTTATTGATCTGGACTCTCTTGTGTACCTTGCTCTTCTGTTAGAATCTTTAACTTTTTCCTGTGGTTTTGAAGGTGACCGTGACTTCCTTCTGATAGGTGATCCTGATTTGAAGCAGAATTTTCTCACTGGAGTTTTTGACCTTGACCTTCTTTTCAAGTCTGATTTTTCCTGTGTAACTAATTTAGCTTTTTCAGATTCAGAAGTAACTTGTTTTGTAGAAATAGAATCCTTTGATTCTTTTTTGTCATTGGTAGACACTCTTTTTGAAGGAATTGCCTTTAATTCTTTATTACTGTCTGTAGCTTTTTGTTTAGATTTCACATTTTCTTTAGTGTCTTTTTTAGAATCTGAAGTTAAGCATTTAGATGATTCGTTTTTAACTTCTACGGTCTTCTCTGGTGCCTTTTTAGAGGTAGGCATTGGGATATTTTTAATGTTATCCTCAATCTGCCGAGACTTCCCATTTGATTTAACAATATTTGAAGTACTCAATTTTGTGTTTAAAGTCTGCTCACTTTTTGCCAAATTTTCGATTTTCTTTTCTAGTTCAGAATTTAGTTTTGACACATGTTTAACAAATTCATTTTTGACAACATTTATGATATCTTTTTCTGGTGAAGATGATTTATTTAAATTGGACTCGTAACTTTTATTTTTCTCTTCATCACTTTCACTGTCAGAACTAGAAGAAGATGAAGATACAGATGATAATGACTTTGATGATTTGCTACCATCTAATTCATCGTCAGGGTTCTTACTCTTCATTTCATTGTCATATCCCTGAAAACTTTTTCGTCTTTCAGAAAAATCTCCATCAGAGCGACCAGAATATTTTCTAGATCGATTTGAATAATTTGTCCGATTATCGTCTGCGGAATCATTATCAGAACTGAGATGGAACCTCCTAGATTTATCTGTTTTATCATCATCGCTATCGTCTGAGCTTTGTTCACTCTCACTGTCTGAATCTGACCGATATCGGGAAAACTTGTCAGTGCCTGTAAAGAGTAAAGAAGAAACACAAACAAAATTTGTCAAATACCTACACTACAGCTAATGGTTTATTCTGCTTTTTCCTCCTGCCCCTTCAAATTTTATGCACATTTATTTACTAGCTATGAGGACAATAGGAAGTTTATTGTCCCCAATGACACCAACTATTCTACACAAAAAGTGGACGGAAATAGTTTGTGTCTATGGGGATAATACTTTGCTTATAATTGTCTGAATAGCTATTTAATAAGTGTTTAATTATACCCAAAGTACAAGAAAATGTTTGCTTCCAGTAAATAGTTTTTGAAACTATTAACTGGTAAAAAGTTTTTTTAGAGGAAAATGTTTGCTTCCAGTACATAGTTCATACCTAGTAGATATTTTTTGAAACTCTAAACCTGTAAATAAGTCTTTTTCAGACAATTTTTCATAAATAGTATTTATTCATCTATAATTCTATAAAGAAAATACATACTGAGGTATAATAAAACATATTATTCCTCAGAAAGTATTTACTTTATAAAATTATGGAAGAATAAATTTACAATTTTTACAAAATTGTCTGAAAAATACTATTTACCGGATAAAAGTTTCAAAACCTTTACTGGATATGAACTATTTACTATTAATATTCTTTAATGCAAATCGCTCTTCAACTGGGTATATATCATCAATATCTGTCCAGCTGTGTGGAAGAGTTGTACTTAGGAGACACTATATATATATATTATCAATGCATTATTGAGTCAAAGAATTTTATTATCTCCCTTTAACATGTGGAACCAGGACTATAGCATCTGTGTTGTTTTCAATACACAGATGTAGGGCTTTAGACATCTAGCATAGAATTCTGCTCAACCATTGCTACAGGCTGTCTTGGACTTGCAATGAGTTGTGAACTTCTGCTATATGTTGAAGGTCTAACTGTGACTTTGAAATGAAGCAATATAAGCACTGTTCTTTTGTTTTCAGTTTAGTTAATTGCATAAAGCAATTTTGTGTAATGAATAGATACACAATATTCCTTTTTTTTAATTAACAGACAAATTAAATAAATCGCAAATACTAAACTAACCCTTTATTCTGGTAGGGGTAGATGACATGCTATCCTCATCTGTCAATGCCCATTTGTCTTGTGGTCTGATTAACACAGGTTTGGTAGAATCACTCTTTTCTGTAATATTCTTTCCTGTTTTTAATGCAGATTTTTCCTCACCCTTCATAGGAACAGTATTAATAACTATCAAGTTACTCTGTCGAGGAGGATTACTGGCCACATTTTGTCTCTGCTGATTATTCCTAAATTCTGGAACCTTCTGCTGTCGTCTGCCAGTAAAGTTGCCACCAGTGCTGTAGTTGTTGGTTTTACTGTAATGTTCCACTGTACAAGTACTGTAGTTTCCTGAATACTGAACTGGCTGTCCACCAGGATATTGATGTGTTGGTGGTTGTCCATAGTGAGGAGTGTAATTACTGTAGCTAGTGACAGGTGCACTCTGTAAGTTTTTAAACATTTTCATGAATAAATAAAGAAGTTTCATATGTTCATGTGAAACTGTCCTTTGGGTTTATTTTTTATATAAAACAATTCTCAGTTGTTTCAATAAATAACTGGCTTTTGATTTTGTCAGTTTGAATATTTCACTTTGTCTAACATTCATTAAATAAAACTACAATTCCAACAATTTTCTATAAGTTTTCAATCTAAGGTGGTAAACAGTACCTAGTTGGCAATGAAAATGTGAAGAATGCAATAAATTCAGTCCGTAATTTCTAATTCTAATTAAGTAATGATTGTTGTAGTCTTAAAAGTGATGTGTGAATGATCATTTAATATTCTTGTCTGAACAGCAATCATATCACATTTTTATATTCTAATTGCTTAATACTGAAATTACCTTAGTAACAGATTTTGTTATAATACCACTTGTAGCTGTTAACACATCTAATGGATGTGGATGTAGATGTACACTGGAAGTTGGTGTGTCTAACTTTTTAGATATATCTGGCTTCTTCTTCTGAAAATACAGAGTTAAATTACACAAACATTATGAATAAATAAATAAAAAATCAATAAAATTAAATAAAACCTGTGAAATGACTCCTGGGTAATTGAGTTACAGTGGCAGATTCATGGGGCATACAGAGTGTACACCCACCTCTGATTTGAACATTTTCATTCGGGCATAAAATCATCCATTTTTTTTTTGCCTCGCTCAGCTCCCTGATCCATGTATTACCCACCCCCCCCCCCACCCCCCCTCCCCCACTTCTTCAAAAATCCTCCATCTGATGAATACCAAAGGTATGCAGGATGTCCTAATTAAACATTAACCCGAAATAATAAATAAGGATACAACTCTTCATAGGAATGCAGGTATTATTTACTCTTTATCTACCACTGCAGGATATATACATGGTTTTTATCATCATTCTGTCGGCAGTGACTTATAAATATGCTTGCATAATTAAGTGTGTATTCACTTTAACTGATATGACTGCTGTAAACAAACACATGAATATGCTCGTTGAGTATTATTTGGTAGCATACTCAAGATGTTCATATACACCATGTAGATTACCTTTTCTATATTGGTTTTGGATTTTCTATATACATGAAGCACATGGCCATGATGGTGGAGTCAAGAAAAAAATTAATATGATTAACAAATTTTATTTAAATTCTAACTCCACCTATTGATTTTTTAAAGCAATTACTAAGAAATTGAAGAAGAAAAAAAAATATGTTGTAACCATAAAGCACTTTTTTAACATCAAATAGCAAAATCTACCAAGTGTCACTTAAAGACAAAATTAATATTAATAACTAAAATACACTACTCACATTTTTCATAGAAGCCAAGGCCAACATACGAAGTGCCTCCAAGTCATCCTAAAAAATAAAAGAACATAATGAAAAAAAAAAATTTAGTGAGTGACTCTTAACTTTATTTTTATATTCATCAAGAATTCATTAATAAAAGACTTTCAATGAATAATGGGCAGCACCTGTCATTGAAAGGAAGATGTCAATTTAAAGAGACTTTAGTTTAGTTTCCCGTGTGAAGGACCATTGGTCTTTCCACATAAAAAATTGTGAGAGTTATCTCCCATGTAGGTACCTTATTTAACAAGCATTCTGAGAGGATTGCATTGCAATACATAGTCACCTACCGGTTAAAAATTCATTGAAATGGAACAAAATGCTACCTTGATCTGTAACTTGTCATGGTGTAAACTATATAACAAATATCAAGTCAATATCTTCAAAATGACAAAAAAAGTGTGAAAAACTGATTATTTAAGTGAATTTTACGAGGTCCAAGGACCGTAACTCTGCACAAAATTCGATCTTGACCTGTAACTATCATGATAAAACTATATACCAATTATCAAATCAATATCTTCAAGCACGAATAAAAAAAGTGTGGAAAACTGATTTCCTGGACTGACGGATGGACAGACAAACAGACGGAGTGCAAACCTAAAGTCCCCTTCAACCTAGTGGGAATGTGAAACAATTCAAAGAGAAAACCAACTACCTGATTTATCTTAATAACAATAAACTAAAAATAAAAATTATGGCAGACAAAAACTGATGACAACCACTGGCTTACAGACTCCTTGACATGGGACAGGCACATTTAGAATGTGGTAGGGTTAAATACGATTGTCAACACTCAAATCTTCCCTAACCTTAGACAGTTTGGTAACAGCACAGTATCAGAATAAACTGTAAAAATCAGATTGAAAGGACTCATCAGATCGGCATAAAGCACACAAAATATAAAACAACAACAAAAAAAACAAACAAAAGACAGGATGTACATATTTTAGAGTAGTCCCAGTTACTGAAAACTAGTACAAGGCCAAATTTCATCTAATAAATAAATCATGTTTTCCCAGTAAAATAGTGGTTGTCAATCAGAAAAAATTATTTCAGAATTTGAAAATAGTTGAAAATTAATACAGAATTCTATATACATGTATATATAAGCTATATATTACCCTAAGTCCTAACATATGAAGAACAACTTACAAAAGGGTTTCAAAGGAAATAAAAAATTAAAAAATAAAATCCTCCCACCGGTCCCAATTTACCCCAAAAGTTGGATGAAATCTACTAATTAAGTTTAGTTGGCCTTATTCATGGAGCGTTTCTCAATCAACAAGCACTATAAACAACGATGTGCAACTACGGTTGTGATATCCTTTAGATAAGACAAAAAAAAGGAGTGTTTCCTGTTGCATGCCCCAAAAAGAGGGTTGGTAGGTCAGGATTTTTTTTTGCCTACTTGCATTGTTTTCTTTGAAGAGTTGTTCATATGTTTTCAAGTGTGAAACTGTCACAAACGTTTGGTTTATATCAAAGAATTTTTATGACTTCATTTTGTTTTTTAAAAAATTTGTATCAAAATCTCAAAAACTTCACTATCTTAACCATGTTAACCCCTCCCACTCAGCTCATTACTGGTGACTTTGTTTTTGCAACACTTGATCCATACAGGAAGTTGTCTAACTTCTAACATGTGTCTAAGAAAATGGTTTTTCCATATTTGCCTAAATAGCAATAAGGTGTATTGTAACCCTTAATAATGTTGTTGTGCACTAAAACCCATATTGGAAAATTTTAAAAGTTGGAAGGTATGAATATTAAAAATTTGTGTACATGTATGTGCATTAGCAAGGTTTACATGATGTAAACATGGTAAAGTGCTCCCTTTTACAATGGGTATACTGTAAAGCAAGATTTTTTCATTTTCAACTTCATGGTTTACTTTAGCTGCGGAAAAGTAGCTCTTTAGAAAGGTTGGGAAAGATCCTCATAAATGGGTACTATCCCCATTTATGAGTATTATACCCAAAATCAGGTATCAATTTACAGTTACAAAAAATAAAATTTTTGTATTTCATCAAGATAGCTGTCATGGCACAAATATTTCTATAAATTGCAACATTTTCCCCTTTTAAGACCATACTTCAAACAGATTTGAATACAAAGATAATGGCCTCAAAAAATCCTACTTTTCGTAGGCTGTTTAGTGTTAACTTTTATCCTAATGATATTTCAGTCACAGTGTCTTAAGGGGGTAAAATGTTGTCCTTTCCCCAAATGCTTGAGCCATGACAGAAAATATCTGTAAACAGGATTGGCAAAGTATTACCTGGGCGGGAAAACCAGGGCCGGGTTTTCCCGGGCTGGGCAATACTCCTAGAAACAGGTAATACTGGACAATACTGGGTAATATGATTTTTCAAGCTTATTTTTACACAAAATAGTAAAGCTTGTTGTAGTTTAATAGTATTATAGCTAAATACATACATTTTATAAAGATAACCATTGAGAGTCAGTTTTGAAGATTGAAAATTCAATTTCTTCCTTTTCTCCACTAATTCTATGTAGGCAGAATACAAGTTTTGGACATATCTGACAGGATACCTTGTTAATTTCCAAGCTTTGTTTCAATATTAAATCCAAGTTGAATAAAATGCTTCGCAGGGCGCAGCTTGATACGACCGCAGAGGTCGAACCCTGAACAGTTGGGGCAAGTATGGACACAACATTCAAGCTTGATACAGCTCTGAATTTGGACTGTGATTAAATATTTGACACAGCATATGTTACTGACACAGAATGAATGTGGTCTAAGAACTTAAAAATTTTAAATTGGACATTCACCTTTTATGGTCCAATATCCAAAATCTAAATACATGGTTAGATTCAGCATATCAAAGAACCCCAAGAATTCAATTTTTGATGAAATCAAACAAAGTTTAATTTTGGACCCTTTTGACCTCAATGTGGACAAAGTTGATAACAGGGCCCAAAAAATCAAAATCAAAATACATGGTTAAATCAGCATATCAAAGAACCCCATATATTCAATTTTTGTTAAAATCAAACTAAGTTTAATTTTGGACCCTTTGGACCTTAATGTAGACCAATTTGAAAACGGAACCAAAATTTAAGAATCTAAATACACGGTTAGATTCGGCATATCAAAGAACCCCAATAATTCAATTTTTGATGAAATCAAACAAAGTTTAATTTTGGACCCTTTGGACCTCAATGTGGACCAATTTAAAAACGGGGCCCAAAATCCAAAAACTTAATACACGGTTAGATTCAGCATATTAAAGAACCCCAAGAATTCAAGAATAAAACCCCATTGAAATTGGTCAAGAAATAAGCAATTTATACGAAGTATCTTCTTTTGCACAATACTGTGCAATTGAATATTTCTTGCTATTGCGCAATACTGTACAATTGACAATTTCTTGCTATTGCGCAATATTGTGCTATTGGCTATTTCTTTGTGGTACAATGTCAGAGAGATCCATACACTAACACACAAGTTATGTCTGGAAGTTACAAAAATGCTTATTTTTGGCCCCTTTTTGGCCCCTAATTCCTTAACTGTTGGTACCATAACCCCCAAAATCAATCCCAACCTTCCTTTTGTGGTATTGAACATTATGGTAAAATTTCATGGAGATCCATTCACTTAAACTAAAGTTAGAGTGCGAAAAACAATGTGTCTTCGGACGACGACGACGTCATACCAATATACGACCAAAATTTTTTTAATTTTTGCGGTCGTATGAAAAATGCATTTTATTGCAGTGTTTAAGTGAATTGTAAATTTTAATTGTTATACAATCATATTGCTAAATAAACACCCTAAGGTGTAATTTTCCTTACATAGAATTGTTAATTCTTAATATTAGTTATATTTATTAAAAAAACAAATTGAAGTCTTTGACTTTAATGTATTGCATTTGTGATTAATCACTGATTCCACTTTTAAAATTCAGGGCAGTATTTCATATAACCCAGTATTTTCCAGTATTATCCAGTAAAACCCGGGTTTTCCCAGTATTTCCCACTGGGCTGGGCAATACTCATAAAACCCAGGTTTTTGCCAACCTTGTCTGTAAATCCAAAGATTATATTTTTATCATTGAAAATTGATACCCGTTTTGGGGTATAATACCCATAAATGACGATAGTACCATAAATAAGCAAGTTAACTTGTACCATTGCTAACTTGTACCACATCAACTCGTACCAACGTTAACTCATAGCATTGCGAACTCGTACCATTAAAAAAATATATGCATATATTACAATATACGAATGTTTTATTAATTTTTTTTTTCAAATCCTGATAAAAAAAGTCGAATTTCTTGAATTTTCTACCAAAATCTATTGAAAAAATATACAATATACAAATGTTTTATGATTTTTTTTTCAAATCTTTATAAAAAAAAGTTTATACCAAAATTTAACAAGAGGCTGTCAGAGTGACAGCAAACCGGATTTTCCTGCAGAGGTCAACCCTGAACAGTTGATCAAGTATGGACACTACATTTAAGCTTAAAACAGCTCTGAATTTGGATTGTGATTGAATATTTGACACAACATACGTTTGTGACACAAAATGAATATGGTCACAGAACTGAAATATTTGAAATTGGACATTTAAATACCTATTATGGTCCAATATCCAAAATCTAAGTACATATTAGAATCAGCATATCAAAGAACCCCAAGAATTCAATTTTTGATGAAATCAGACAAAAGTTTAATTTACATGTAGGACCCTTTGGACCTCAATGTGGACCAATTTGATAAAGGAGCCCACAATCCAAAATCTCTCAATACATGGTTAGATTCAGCTTATCAAAGAACCCCATAAATTCAATTTTTGTTGAATCAAACAAAGTTTAATTTTGGACCCTGATATTTTGGACCAACTTGAAAACTGAGCCCAAAAATTTAATATTTAAATACAGGTTTAGATTCAGCATTTGAAAGAACCCTATATATATTTAATTTGTGTTGAAATGAAACACAGGTTAATTTTATCCATAATATTTTCTGTGCAAAGGGAAATAACTCAAACTGGATAAATAGTTCTCTAAAATAAGATACATGTATGATGCAATTTTTCAAATTATAATCAATAATATAATAACAACAACCAGTGATGACTAAGTTCTCTAAAATTAGATATGATTTAACACTCAAACATTGTTAGAATCAGCATATCAAAGAACCAAAGAATTCAATTTTTGATGAAATTAAACAAAAGTTTAATTTAGGACCCTTTGGACCTCAATGTGGTATTATCTTATTAATAATGAAAAGAAATACAGGTTTAGATTAAGCATTTCAAAGAACCCTATATATATTCAATTTATGTTGAAATCAAACACAGTTTAATTTTGGACCCCGATTTGGACCAACTTGAAACTGGGCCCAAAATCAGAAATCTAAATATATGTTTACAGTTTATTAATAGACAATATAAGCTTAGTTTTTAAAGGAGTTAATTCACTTCATCAAAAAAAAAAATATAGCATTCAGAAAATTAGTTTTTACAGAATAACAAACAAACATGCCACAAAATTCTTCAAACAATTTACCAAAGAAAAGAAGAAAAAATCCAAATTTTTTTTTTCCATTAATACAATGTCTTTTCAAAATCTATAAAACTTATCAGTAACAAGAAATACTTGTAACAGGATGCTGTTATGAAGTGTCCTAAACAAAGCTCCAATAATTCGTCATTCCCATGGTCACCTGACATTGGGCAAAGTCCAGTACAAATTGGTTTGTGATATGCATCAGTGACGCCTATGGATTGACCTGTATGTCATTCAAATCTTCTTGAAATTACGAACAGGAATACTAGTATATGGTTTAGAGGTGGAGATCTCGACCGTTTACAAGTTCTCAAAAGGGGGGGGATGACCCCAGGGGACTCACCTTATATTTCATTTGATTTGTTTTATTGTCCCATACAAGAATAGATATGGTTTCGGGGTGGGGATCTTGACCGTTTACAAGTTTTCAAAAGGAATGGGGGTTGGGGGTTACCCCAGGGGACTTCCCCTCAATTTCATTTGATTTGTTTTATTGTCCCATTCAAGAATATATATGGTTTAGGGGTGGGGATCTCGACTGTTTACAAGTTATCAAAAAGAAGGGGGGGTTGGGGTTACCCCCATGGACTTCCCCCATATTTCATTTGATTTGTTTTATTGTCCCATACAAGAATATATATGGTTTAGGGGTGGGGATCTCGACCGTTTACAAGTTCTTAAACAGGAGGGGTGGGGGTGACCCCAGGGGACTCGCCTTATATTTCATTTGATTTGTTTTATTGTCCCATACAAGAATATATATGGTTTAGGGGTGGGGATCTTGACTGTTTACAAGTTTTCAAAAAAAAGGGGGTGGGGGTTACCCAAGGGGATTCCCCTCAATTTCATTTGATTTGTTTTATTGTCCCATTCAAGAATAAATACGGTTTAGGGGTGGGGATCTTGACCGTTTACAAGATAAAAGCACATTCTCAAATTGAAGGGGGTGGGGTAAGAATATATATGGTTTAGGGAGACTTAATTTTCTACAAAATGTCTAATAATGAACAGTAAATTTCAAACTTCATTTATACAGTCCCACTAGTAAATTTCAAACTTTATATATACAGACAGAAAATTTTCAAATAAATCTGTCACTCCAATGATTATCATATGCTAAGATATAACCCAGATCTAATTAATAATTAATAATGTAATTAACTTCAAAATGTCTAATGATATAGCTAATAATCATCACCACTTAGGGAATAGAAATTTTCAAATAAATCTGTCACTCCAATTTTTATTGTGAGATAAGACAAGTCATAATATGATCATGATAATAAAAAGAGAAAAATATTTAAAAATTCCACTTTTGGATATTAAAAATGGCGATAACTCAAAAAGGAGAAATACTAAAATCTTGAAAATGAATTAGACCTTCATTAAGTCCCAGGAAACAACATATTTAAATTTGAAAAAAATTTGTTAATTTAAAAGCGTTTTCATGTTATTGTGGAGACACTGTTGGCAGCCGCTCGTCAGCCCGTCGTACATCCCCAATTTAATAAAAGATATTTCCTTGAAAATCCGGTTAATGAAAACTTGACAATATACGAATGTTTTAAGAATTGTTTTTGCAAATCTTCATAAAAAAAATGCATGTTAATTGATAAATTAAATTCCTTTGATTGTGTGATTATTGTTTGATTATGTCTGTAGTTAACTAATCAACTTGTTTAATCCAATTATTAAATTATGATTGTTGTTATATAATTTAACAGCTTGGAATTAATTGTATAATGTTTGTTATTTAATGAAATTCCTGATTATCAAAGCACAACCTGAGATTAGTCGTCTCAAACCACATTTCCTCAAAGAATGGGGCATGTTTGCATGTCTCTCATAACCGGTATCGGGTCCGTTCGCGCCCAATACACGTTCGCACCCCACACGTTCGCCCCCTAGGTCCGTTCGCACCCTACACGTTCGCACCCTTTTTTTATTCAAAAACCTGATAAATTTTTAGATGTTTTGTAGATGTTAATATCAAAATATTTTTATTTTCATAAATAAAAATTCGGGAATTTTTAAATAAAATATTGTTTTTAATTGATTTGATGATTAATTATTAAATGTTAATTATGTATGATTACTGCTAATTGGTATTTATACACAGCCTAATTTGGTGTTATTGTTGAGTGTTTAAAAATCATGATTGTTGTTTTAACTTGCTTTGATGTAAATACTGCATGTATATAGCTTGGTATGAGTAAAACTTTGAAGATTTTAAATAAAAAACATGAAAGATAAATTTTTTGTAATTATACTATATTATCTATACGTTCAAATTGTAAAATCAATAAAAAAAAGCTTATATAGATATATATATAGCATAATAATTTTAATATTGTTTTTCAGGTTAAGCAACAGGTTAGCGACAATCCACAGGTTAGGGCCATGGATACCGTGACAACTGTAATTACCAGAGACATTGCAGTGGAACAACGCTTTCTTGCTCCAAAGCAGAAACAGATGAAAAGAACAGCCAACAAGCATAGGTCAGCCAACCGCCCTGCAGATCCTGATAACTTGGATTTTGAGGTATTTTTCATTCCTATTTAAAGTAGTGTAAACGATCTTAATGTAACCTATTGTTAAATCAATTAAAAAAACATCATTTCGGGTATGGTTGCTAATGAGTCTACTATCTACAAAAAATGTATGGAGATATTAATACCAAAAACCAACAATGAGACTTAATTTAATGTTTTAAATAACATTAATATATCATTTACAATGTTTACTTCATTATTTTTTTTGAATAAATTAAATGTTTCCTTTTTTTTACAGCTTGACGTCGACTACCCGAAGTGTGCAGACTTCCTAGTAGCTGACCTTCGTGTAGACCTAGCCAGACACGTCGTCTTTGCCACAGAATTTCAGCTGAACATGTTGAAGCATGCAAGCCGTTGGTTCATGGACGGGACCTTTAAGGTAATTTGATTTATACATTGTGTGTGTCCTATTTTAAGAAGTTAAAACAACGTGAAAGTTACGAGTCAGTCAAGATAAATACATTGTGTGTGTCCTATTTTAAGAAGTTAAAACAACGTGAAAGTTACGAGTCAGTCAAGATAAATACATTGTGTGTGTCCTATTTTAAGAAGTTAAAACAACGTGAAAGTTACGAGTCAGTCAAGACAAATGTTTTTCAAATTATAATCCACTTTTTAAAATTTGAATTGAAATATATTGTTTTGCATCTTTTTTCAGGTTGTAAAGGCACCCTTCAAGGCTACTGGTCAACTACTCAGCATCCATGCTTTCATCCTTAAAGACGGTCAGCGCAAACAGTTACCTTTGGCGTTTGCCTTGATGTCAAGGAAAACAGAAGCTGACTACATCGCAGTTCTCCAATCCCTGAAAGATCGGATGGTTGACCCTGTTGTTGCTCATTTTGTAGTTGATTTTGAAGTTGGTAAGTTCGTAAACATAACATAAACAATAAATATAAATATAAATGTTTGGTATTTGTTTATTATATATAGCACTAAAAATAGTTGGTATATGTTAATGAGACAGCACTCGAAGTATATGTGAATGAAACAGCACTCGAAGTATATGTGAATGAAACAGCACTACCAAATATATGGGTTATGTAAATGAGACAGCACCGGAAATATATGATTTTTACAGATTTTGCATGTTATGACTACGTATAATAATAATTTTAATTTTTGTATTTTAATTGATTCTTTTCAATTGCAGGTGCATGGTTGGGTATCAGAAGAGTCTTTCCAGGAGTCAAAATAAAGGGGTGCGTGTTCCACTGGACCCAAGCAGTGTGGCGTCATGTACAGGACAACGGTTTGGTCAGGGCGTATAAGCACCAGCAGTCTGTTCACACCTACATCCGTCAGCTCATGGCGTTGCCATTCCTACCAACAACACACATCAGGGACACCTTCATCTCATTGCAGAACCGTGCCAACACACCACAACTAAGTGACCTTGTTGCCTACATGGATCGACAGTGGTTCAACAATGGAGTCATCCACATTGCTGATTGGTGCATCTTCAAGAGATCTGTACGCACCAATAATGATGTAGAAGGTATTTATCACTATTTGTCATAAAATTTGTATGATGTGGGATGATCGTCAATGAGAAACTAAGGATCTAAAGTGTGGTAAACGTCAATGAGATAATTTATATATACATACATAACATTAAATTCATATTTATAACTGATATATATGTACCCATATACCATTTACTATATTAGTATTTTCAAATTCTTAATCCTCTATTTTTCTTTCAGGATGGCACAACAGGCTGAACACTGCTGCAAAACAAAGTGGTGTCCCGTTCTACACCCTAGTCCCCGACTTGATGAAAGAAGCTGAGGTTGTTGACATCAGCGTGCGTTCCGACGACTTAGAGCGAGATGTTCACCGCCGCTACACAGTACTAGAACAGAAGATACAGACCTCGTGGGATTCTTACATGGATGGAGCAATGTCAACTACCCACTTCCTTAAGGTGATCTCCAGACTGTATGGGCCATCAGACCAACCAGCTGACGATGTTCTGCAACAGTAGACTTTTGAACTTTGAACTTTGATTAACTTTGAAACTTGTGCTATAGTTACTTGAATATTCATGTTATATTGTATATGTTTATGACTGATGTATGATTCTGGTTTTTCTAAAATATTTTAGTGCTCTTTGATATTTTATAAAGCAGTTATTCTAAACAGTTTAGTGCTGTTTTTTAAATGAATTATTTCATGATTGGAAATGATTGTGTTAGGTTCAAATGAAGATAAAAATAGTAACTTTAAATAGTTTAGTGCTGTTTTTTAAATGAATTATTTCATGATTGGATTGGAAATGATTGTGTAAGGTTCAAATGAAGATAAAAATAGTAACTTTAAATAATTTAGTGCTTTTTTATTTGGAATATGATTGGATGAGCTTAAGCTTAAGTTTTTTTACTGTTGATATTTATGATGTTTGTTTTGAATAATTGTTGGAATATACGATATAAGGATGAATAAAAATAAAAGAAATATATATATACTTATGTTTTTTTTAACCTCATAGATAGTGTACCTCCAAACTTCTTTTAATATGGAAATAAATGCCCTGGATCGAAACTGCTATAAGATGTTTTCAACACATACACAAAAAAAACGTTGTCAGAATCGCACTTTATTCATAAACAATGAAAAATAATATTTATAGCAATACACTAACCAAAAACATGATTAAGATTTTATCAACACATAAAAAAACGTCAGAATCGCACTTTATTCATAAACAATAAAAAATAATATTTATAGCAATACACTAACCAAAAACATGATTAAGATTTTATCAACACATAAAAAAACGTCAGAATCTCACTGTATTCATAAACAATGAAAAAAAATATTTATAGCAATACACTATCCAAAACATGATTACGACTTATTCAACACATAAAAAAAAAACGTTGTCAGAATCCCAATTCCTTTTGAAACAATAAACAAGAAATATTTATAGCAATACAATAACCAAAACATGATTAAAATTTTATCAACACACAAAAAAACGTTGTCAGAATCTCACTTTATTCATAAACAATGAAAAAAAAATATTTATAGCAATACACTTACCTAAACATGATTAAGATTTATTCAACACATTAAAAAAACGTTGCCAGAATCTCACTATATTTAGAAACAATGAAAAAATATATATTTATAGCAATGCACTTACCAAAACTTGTTTACAAATTATTAACACAAAACCAATAAAAATTGGGCGCGAACGTGTAGGGTGCGAACGGACTTTGGGTGCGAACGTGTAGGGTGCGAAAGTGAAAGGGGGGCGAACGTGTATGGGGGCGAACGTGATTGGGCGCGAACGGACCCGGATTCCTCATAACCACAATGGAGGACAACAAGACAAGCAATAGAATATGATGTATGCTCTAAATGGCAACACATGACTGTTTTGCTCATAAATGAGCTGAATATTGAATAAGAATAAATTTCTTACTTTCTAAATTTTGGTCATAAATACATGTAATTTTAAACTTTTCAAAACAAGATAAATAAATTTACTTTTAGAAACAATTATTAATACCAAAATCTATTCAATGTTCAGTTTGTAATTATTAAAAATTAAATCAAATAGTTGTCAGTAAAAGTTAAATAATGGAACTGTTCAAGGGAGACAACAAAGCCAATCTGCTACAGTTTTATTTATCCAATTAGCCCAGGAAAAATCAGCTACAAATTGGTCATTGTGATTTCAAATTATATCCTTTTTACAGACTTATGAGTAAGTTACTGAAATCATAATATTTATTTATCATTAAACACCTTTTGAATGCATTTAAATAAGTTGGTACAAGTTTGCGATGGTACGGATTTACTGTGGTACGAGTTTGTTTTTAGTGGTACAAGTTGACATTGGTATGATTTTGCAATGGTACGAGATAACTTTAATTCCCAATTTATGAGGATCCTCGCCAACCTGTTACATCCTAATGATTTTTTTTTTGACAATTTGCGGACAATAGATCAGCAAATTGTCAAAAAATACCAAGAGAACCAAAAGAGCTACGGTTCCATAGCTAGGTGTACTTAAGCATCAAGAAATATTGAATAAATATGGAAGCATGCGAGTGTGAAAATGTCAGGAACACGACTTTTTCCAGACATGTTACTGTTAGACTTCATCAGTTTATGTCTTTCATAATGCATGTCACTCATGCACAAGGAAAGTCATGCATTCAATTATGGGATTGGGGATGTGGAAAGTGGTCAATTCGTAACAAATATGATATATTTTCAGTTAAACTTTTTTCTAAGAAAGACGAACCTCATCCTCGGAGGCCATTTTGGTGTTCTTTAGTCAGATTAAAGAAATCCGAAATGTTCCGAAAAGTAAATTTTGCTAACACGGATCAAGCAGACGAAGTATTTATTAAAATATATTACAGTCACTATATTGGGCCCAGCTCCGCTTTACTGACACAATATCATAATCAGCAAATAGTTTATTTTGTTCATCTGAAATTTAGAATTGAAACTTTTATATTTTTTTATATTGGTATATTAAACTTAATTAACGAAAAATTCGTGGGCGAACATCAAATCGACACACGGAACTGTAACCGATCATGTACGAGATTAACTTTCTATTATGATTGTCTGCCGCAATTTATGCTAACTAATTTGTTACAAGTTTTCGGATTGGCTCCTGGGAAAAAAGTGCGAGTTTCAAACATATGAAAAGACATACATGAAGATTGAAGGGTTTATAATTATAGTACAACAAAACAAGTACATCTGAATACAGAATAACGTTACAAACTAACAGTCCTTACATTTTTTTACACATTAGTCATTAGAAATAGAATACTCATCAATCCTTGGTTATCTTGTCCAATCTAAATACAGGGGGAGTCACTCACAGGCACTTGTGAGGGTAGGAATGCCCTTTACCGTTTAACGGTCAGGCATCAAACGGTTACCGTTAGCGTCAAATTGGTTAAATTTTATCATGAATTGTCAAACTATATCATTGTCGTGATTCATCTAAGATCTCTAATAATTATCCGTTACCATTATTTTTGGAAAGAATTTGAACGTTATTGGTCCAAATCAGTTGATTTTTTTTATCGTTATAAAGAAAATGTACATTTTATTGCATGAACCAAAAATTACTGTTTACGTCATTTGACAAGATTTTTTATCGTTATTCGTCATGAAGATACCCTAGGCCTAGTCCAAATTATTATGACGTCTGCGCAGGAAGGCGTCAAAGCAAAAAAATAAAATAGCCTTTCAAGACCATAATTATTTGGACTAGAAGATACCCCCTGCCCCCATTACAACCCTTACTTGTTACATAGTTTCAGACCTCTTGTCCTGTTCAACATGTTCAACTGAATTAGGTTGGTAAAAGTAAAAGTTCAGGCAAAATTTCAGAACCTATTTTGTTTCACTGTTACAGTTTGGAAAATGTCAGACTTCGACAAAGTTGTCAAATTTGGCCACACAAATTATCATTATCCTGAAGCTTTTTTGAATTCTCTTATTTAAACATTTTGGAACTAACAAAATAGAGTACTCCAAAAAATTATTCCTAATATGATGATTTGTCTCTATTTATTTTTTAGATAGATTTTCTATCTTAACAAGGATTGTCAGATTTCCTACCAAAGGTCAGTGGTTTTCCTCCACCAATAAAACTGGCCACCACAATATAGCCAAGTGTTGAAAGTGGTTTTAAACACAAACAATCAATTAGATTCGGAATGTATTTATGATTATCAATGTTTGTAATCTCATGTATTTACTTAGTATAATATGTACTTAGTATAATATGTACTTTTCTAATTTCTGTTGTAAAAGAATCTGAACATGTTCTATCAGACATCAACATGAAAAAAGTAATAAGCCACAGCTTTTATTTTTGAAAATTATCAGGACAAATTTCAAACAATTTAAAAGACACAAATAATCTTTATTGAAAGTACATGAAGTTTTTAGATTTGAACATCTAAAGGTTATCACACATATTTAGATGATGACAAGGTAATCGATCATGTAAGTTTGCAGTTAATCTTCCCAAGTTGTGAATTCATACAATAGTGATGGCTGGAGAATTGTAAATTCCAAATTTACATGTATCATGGATGGGAAACTCTGAACATTTTATTGTCTTTGACAGGCATGCATGTACTAAACATACATTACAAAACTTCAGTACTGATTTCTTTTAACGTCTGTTAAATCAATTTAAATACATATATTCATAGATATACAGAAAAAGTATTGTTGCAGTTATCACACTTAGTTTGATGGATCTTAATAAAAACTTTTTATATTTTGCAGATGATCTATTGAAACAATTGATGAAGAACCTGTAGAACTTAAGACAAAATGACTTCACAATATGCTGAACTGAGGGGGTTGTATCATTTAAGGGAAACTATAGGCTCTGGTAGGTTTTTCTCTGTTAGAATTTGAAATTGAATGTGTAATGATAATAAGGAGAAATAGGGAATATGTCTATGAGTTAGCAAACTAAACAAAAATACTAAAAAAACACAAAGGACATCTGTTTGTCACACAATGAAAAATGTTTCCAATCATTGCTTATGGACAAAATCATTTACAGTTTTAAACATTACAATCATTGCTAATTCATTTGTAATTGCTGTAGTGTCACAATGAATATACAGATAAGAATTATCTAGATGTGACAATAGGTTAAACGTATTTTATCCTGTTAGATGGAAAATATTTTTCTTATTTTACAATTAAACTAGAAAAATGATTTCATTTATTATCTTTATGATTTGTTAGACACAAAAAGTTGTCTTTTCCTTTTCAGGAGGATTTGCTAAAGTCAAGTTGGGATACCATTCTCTCACGGGAGAAAAGGTTGCCATCAAAATTATGGATAAAAGAGCACTGGGGGTAAGTCTAGTCAAGTCATTTTACTTCAAGGCTTGATACATGTAGTTTTGAATTATATGGATACCAAAAGAAAAAATGATAAATGATATCAAAACAGAAATAATAATAGTTAATTTTCATTGTCCATGCTAAAAGAAATGCAGTAAAATGTCTGCCAAATCCAGATATAAATGCTAATGATATATATTTGTGAAAAATACAAAACTGGAAAGAAAAACAAAATATGTAGATTCATTGAAAGTTACATTTTGTGTAAATACTGCATTCAGTCAATACACAGGGATCAGTTTTAGAATGTAAGGTCTACCAACCTAAAACATGAAAATTTCCCCATCATATACATTCAATATAAACCAAGCAGAGGAAAGCAAAAGAACTTTACGTTTTATCAAAATATTTAGAATGGTCTGTAAACAGAATATTAATTCTTGACTTTTTATCTTGACACTCATTTTCTATTAACAGGATGATTTACCCAGAGTCAAAACAGAAATAGAAGCTATGAAAAATTTGTGTCATCAGCATATTTGTAAACTGTATCAAGTAATAGAAACAGAACAGAAAGTTTACATGATTCTTGAGGTATATAAGGGAACATTAGTAAATACTTTGATTGCGTCATTATTGTCAGACAGTTGAGAAGGACAATTTGGAATTTGCCCTGGGATACATCATTAATTGACTTGATTTTCCAGCATATTTGGTTATTCCTGTTTTCTTTTCTTGTAAAGACATTCTATTTAATCTCAAAGATTGTCAATTAGGTTGGTTCTAAGTGCCAGAAATATTTAAGAAATAACATGTACATAATATTTTATAAAATTCCTCTGGTCACTGATAAATGAATCCTTATTCTAATCCTTGTTATCATTTTGAAATCAGGGGATTTTAAAAATTACTACATCTGAGCCTTGAGACATTGGTTATTAAGAACTAGCTTTTTTTGACATTAAAAGTTGTTGATGTCTGATTTGCTGGGACAATTGATAGTCAATCTCAGTCAAGTAAATGCTTCATTGTACTTGTCTGATGGGCAGGTTTATATTAAAAGTTCATAGTCAAGTTTATAGTAAGAGAATAATCACTCCAATTTTTGCTGATTCATTTCTATCTGTGCAATTTTTTTAATTTTATTTCAGTATTGTCCAGAAGGAGAATTATTTGATTACATTGTATCTAAAGATAGACTTGCAGAAGACGAAGCTAGGATATTTTTCAGACAGATAGTATCAGCAGTTGCCTATATTCATAGCCAGGGATATGCTCACAGAGATCTTAAACCGGTATGTATCTATAGTGTAGTTTAACTAGAGTCTGTCAGTACATTTTTTTTTTAAATACTTAAAATGGGATACATTTACCTTAACTATCCCAGTCTGGACCTTAAGCGACTAGCACTATGTCTGTGACTAGTAAAAATAGGTTTTGGCTAGTGAAAAGAAAAAAAAGAAAATTGTTTAAAAAAATAGAAAAAAATTCTGAAATTTGGTCTTTCAGGCTAGTTTGTAAAAGGTTTTTGGTGCAGACTGCTATCCAAATTTCAGAAAATGAATAAATAAACATTGCTTTGTTGTTGTTCCCTTTGAAAATCTGATACCTAAAAATAATTTGAGTACTCCAGCCCATAAGAATTTTTGAATGGACCCTTTTATTAAATTCAGCATATATGAATGGTTATGTTTATAAAAGAGATAGTGTTGAGATATTTTTGGAGAAATTGCCTTTAGATGTCTCTAGTCAATTGCAACCATTATGAAAAGACATACCCATACATATTAAGTAGTCTTAATGAAAATAACTTAGAGTTAGTGAAAAGATTCAAGAGACATTTCCTAAATAACTGATGTGAAGTTCAATGAAAACAGGTACATAGCAGGGGTAGAAATAAGAAAAGACCATTGACTTGCCCAAATGGCAAGTCAATATCTAGATTAACTTGCCCTCCTTTTTTTTAACTTGCCCTATAAACGCATAACGGCAGGGGGTCTGCGGGCCACTTAAGGCCACCTAAGCTCTGGGGTAAATGTAGCCAAATCCTGCATTCTAGACCTCTCCTGGCAGATAATTTCAAGTTTCCATGCACCATTTTTTTAAACAAAAACTTTTACATTTACAAAAAAAGAGAACAATTTCAGATGTACATGTAGAAATTGATCCAGTTGTCAAATTTCCTCACAGTAAATAAAAAAATATGCATTTATTCTTAACAGTTCAATTATAATTTATTTTGGTATTTTACATTTTACAGCAATACTATAAGAGCTTGTTTAGAACTACATTGAATGAAATTGAAACCTTTAATTTTGTAAAGAGAGTCTGTTGAAGACCTAATGGTGACCTGAATGTTAAAAATTTGCGTTTTCTATTTCCCTATTCATATTTCTTTTGTTGCTTAGCCCTGTTAACGTTGGATTAGTTCAAGTTTTTTTAAAGGGGGGACATAATTTACTAAAAACTGTTCCATTTTACCCAGGGTTTCACACTAAGTCTAAGTTCATTTCTTGTTTTCTTTCTATCATTTTTAATTCAACCCAAAAGTCATTTGCGAAACGCGTTCTAATTGGATAGTTGTATCAACTTCCTTTCACGAATAGTAGCGGAAATCCCCGTGCAGGTGCGACTGAGCATTCTTAAACGTCGTCGCTCATTGGCTTACACATAGGAATTGACCAATAGAATTATTCGGGGGAAACCTTGATGTTTTACGATTTTCGGGGCATGCACATATGAAACAAATAAAGAAAACCAAAACAGTAATACAATGATACACACACCTCAGAGAAATAAAGGTCTGGCATAGTTTTACACAAACAATATTTCAACTTTCCCGGCAGACAACTATGTGATGGGTTTCACTTGCCCGCAGCAGATTTAACGTGCCTCGGGCAAGCGGGATAGCACTTATTTCGAACCCTGCATAGGTGTTTGCTGAATACTCTATCAATAAAGATATCAGATCTTTGTTTTGAAATGTATGAACAGATACCCATATCATTTTCAAAAGTTTCTAAATTTGTTAATTTCAAGGCCTAAAATATGCAAGTTTTTAAACAATTTATCTGCACATCAGAGATTTTTTGCTGCATTTTAACCTTCTAAGAATTGGTTACTGAATGGTCAATAAACTGGATTTTGAGATAAACCTTCATATTGACTTATTAGAGCTAATTTTATTTTTTCCAGGAAAATTTGTTACTAGATGAGGACCAGAATTTAAAGTTGATAGATTTTGGTCTGTGTGCCAAGCCACAGGGAGGAATGGAAAACCATCTGTATACCTGCTGTGGTAGTCCTGCATATGCAGCTCCAGAACTTATATCTGGTAAAGAATACATAGGATCACAGGTAAATATCTGGCAAAGAATACATAGGGTCACAGGTATATACATTTGTGGGAAAATATCTATAACAAGGAATTTTTTATCATTAAAAAACTGTTTTTCTCAAGATTAAGAAATATGAGTTTTACATGAATGCAGACATTAAATACATATAAGTTTTAAGGAAAACATCTTTAGGCATACCTGAATTTGTTTCAACGTAAGAAACTGTCAGAACTCTCTTATGAAAGAAGTGTTGATAGTATTAAACATATATACTGAAAGAAATTTTTCATATACAACACATCATTGTCATAGCCTCAAACATACAAGATTATTTGCTTCATTTTAACCTGTCATTAGATAAATCCAGAAACTGACTGGTTTTCCCTGATACTGCTCATTATCTACATGTATACTGTATATATCCAAAACTTGGCACATGCACCGCAAAAATAAACACTAAATTGTAATGTTTTCAAACACATTTTGTGGCTTTTTTTTTACATTTTGAATAGAGATAACACTGAAAATAATTGGATACAATATTCATTGTTTATATGTACACATAACAATTATTTATCTAGGCTGATTTATGGAGTATGGGTATTCTGTTATATGCATTGTTGTGTGGTTATCTCCCTTTTGATGATGAGAAAATTCCACAGTTATACAAGAAAATCCAGGTAGGTTAAGTTTTTACAGGTATATATCGTGCAGAATTAATTTGATCTCAAAAAACTTTTCCATTAACACTTCATGGCTTCCTTACAATATTATTTTTAAATCAATTCAGCCTTGTTGAAATGAAAACCCTTTTTAAATATGATACAGTCCCTTGTATATTACTGATACACATACAATACTCTTTTAAATTTGTCATATGAAATTGATGACAATTTTTATTTTTGTTTACCCATGAAATTGCAACCCTTGAATAGAATAGGCATGATAAACTTTTAAAAAAGAAACCATATCATTATACAATCATACAAAATCATTAAAAAAATTATACAGTGTCGGATAGGATAAAAAAGTCTTTCAATTCTCTCATATTCATTTCTTGAAACCTTCTTACTGTTTAAAGATTGCATTTTTGAAGATGAAAACATGTTTATAGTTTCTTTTATTGTAAATCTTTTAAAATCAAAAATCTCTATTTTCATGTGCAGAGTGGAAAATATGAGAATCCTCCATGGTTATCAGAAGAAAGTAAAACGTTGATGTCACGGATGCTACAGGTGGACCCCCAGAGTAGATTGACTATTAAACAGCTAATATCACATCCTTGGTTAACTAAAGATACAAACGTACCAGTAGAATGGAGAAGTAAATATAAGGTATTATACACTTTATGTATTGGTTTCTTTTTTGACAGTTTTAGGGTACAATTACTGCTTCTTAAAGACAAGAAATAGTTCACTTAATGAACATCAATATAATTTAAATTCTATGTATTAATTATATGCCAATTCATTTGCAGAAAATATTAATTGTTACTTTTAAGAAAGAAAGAATCCATCAACATATTAAAATATTAAAAGATTAATGACTTGAATTTCTTGAAACTTCTCGTATTCTAACATCTAGATGCTGTATATATTAAACATTCAAATATAAGATAAAAATAAAAAAATTTCCGGAAAATGCCACATTGATAAAATTTGATATTTTAAACAAAATTACTTCCTAAGTAGTTTCATTTGCATTGTCACTGATGAAATAAACACTTTTAATGTGTATAGATCCTGCATGAGCAAACTAGAATATGTTAAATTTATTGTTTGCTGTATACTTACCAATATATAATAATAAATAAAGAAGCTTTTTAAACATTATTTCTAATGATGAAGGTAAATCCAGCAGGCGCTTCAGACACATGCATTTTATAAAGTGTTGTTTTAATATTTTTAAAAAATTTTGTATAGGTTCATTTTTCAGGGGTAAGTTTGTTTTTGTTTGTGTTCACAATTTTACATATATCACTCTTGTATTTATATCAATATCTGTTGTGTGAACTGTTGTTTTCAGTTGTTCTGTTGAGTGTTACTAACTTAGAATTTGATATCAAATGTCTAGTGTTCAAAATGGTTTATTTTCTCATTCATATAATCTTTGTACTTATATTAAAATGTGTTTAAATTGGTATATGTGTCAATGTATGTGTAATTTCTGGCATTCTATCTAAGTGATGCTTACATTTTAATGATAAGATAGAAATCTGAATAACACCTGTCTTCTATTCAATATAAGTATATATTAATCAGACTCTGTCAAATTTTGTGTCATTTAGTACCAAAGGTGAGGGGCACTTGTTATTTTTTTAAAGCAAATACAGCATTTTGGAAACAAGGTTCATACCTTGTAAAATTAATTGTTATCAGATAAATGACCATTACTTTTGTAGAAACTGACTAGAGCATCTGTAGGTTATAAAAATAGTATCATTCTCAAACATGCTGAGGTTACTATACTAATAGAAAATAGTTCAGGTTGCGTGAAAAACTACAAAAACTGCTAGAGTTTAGGCATACATTGATATTGATTATTGATTTCACATATTTTTTATTAATTAAATATTTTGAAAATCAGTAGTTTCTTGCATGAAGTGTTTCATTTAAAATGATATTTTTTTGTTAAACATGATTCATTTAGTGATAATATAATTATTTTTATGTTAATAAAGAGTTAAGAGAAACACATTTGGTAGATAAAATATTTAGCTGCCTATAAAACAAGCTTAAATATGTGTTTATAAATATATATTTTTAATCATTGAATTATCATTTCAGAGAAGTTTAGATGAGGACTGTATTACAGAGTTAGCTGTACATTATGGTAAAACAAAAGCAGAAATGGAAAGGGATGTGACTCAGGTCAGTGTTGAGATGATATCTATAACATTTCGGAAGAAATTATGATTTTTACTAATTCTTGAATTTAGAATGATCTTCATCTTGATATTGTGAATGTGATGGTTCTTTTGTTTTAGTATTCTATAAAGTAATGTCTTTTATTCATAAAACATGTAGAAAAACTTTTTTCCAAGTCTGAGTTAGAAGTTGGAACCTTGCTTATTGTGAGGTGTGTTCTTTATTGACAAGGATTGCCAGTTTTCATGCCAAAGGTGGTTGTTCTTTCTTGGTACTCCAGCTTCCTCCACTAATGAAAGCTTGCTGCCATGATAAAGCACAAAAAAACAAACAAAAAAAATAGTTAAATGTGTTGAATATATCCACACCTTGCTTTATACTCGTGGTGAGTTAGAGCTTGTAGTGTTGGCACCTCTAGATGTCTATTCTGCTTGACTAGTGTTGTTAGGTTGCTGTCTCAATGACATTTACCCCTCATCTTCCTTTATTCATGTATAGATGTATGCTAAAAACGCGGTGTTAAATATCTAAATTTGAGTATTTCTGTGGTGGTCACCTGGTACTCTGGCTTCCTCCACCAATAAAAACTGGCTGTCAAGATATAGCAATATTGCTGATTGTAGTTCTAAACAACTATTATTCTGATAATGTATATCTGTTCAGCAAATATTTAACTTTTTGCACTACAAACCAACATTTTTGTTTTATTTCAGTTCAAATTTGATTATTTAACATCTTCCTACTTTTTACTGCTGGAAAAGAAAATGAAAGGTAGACCTGTCAGATTACTGCACCAGAAACAGATACAAAGTCAGACTCCTTGCAGGGTAATTATGTATATGGTTACAGTTATGTAAGATACTGCCAATTGAACAATACATGTCACTGATACTTAGGTCTGTGACATTTATGATAATTACACAATTTAGATCTGACTCACAATGCATTTGATTTACATTTTTGTCGAGCCTTCGACTTTAGTCGAAAAAGCGAGACATAGCGATCCTACATTCCGTCGGCGTCGTCGTCGTTGTCGTTGGCGGCGTCCACAAATATTCACTCTGTGGTTAAAGTTTTTGAAATTTTAATAACTTTCTTAAACTATCCTTGATTTCTACCAAACATGGACAGAAGCTTGTTTATGATCATAAGATAGTATCCAGAAGTAAATTTTGTAAAAATAAAATTCCATTTTTTCAGTATTCTACTTATAAATGGACTTAGTTTTTCTGCCGGGAAATATTACATTCACTCTGTGGTTAAAGTTTTTAAAATTTTAATAACTTTCTTAAACTATCCTGGGTTTGTACCAAACTTGGACAGAAGCTTGTTTATGATCATAAGATAGTATCCAGAAGTAAATTTTGTAAAAAAATAAATCCATTTTTTCCTTATTTTACTTTTAAATGGACTTAGATTTTCTGCCAGGAAACTACACATTCACTCTGTGGTTAAAGTTTATAAAATGTTAATAACTTTCTTATACTATTTTGGATTTGTACCAAACTTGGACAGAAGCTTGTTTATGATCAAAAGCTAGTATCTAGAAGGAAATTTTGTAAAAAAAATAAATCCATTTTTTCCATTTTTTACTTTTAAATGGACTTAGATTTTCTGCCAGGAAACAACACATTCACTCTGTGGTTAAAGTTTTTAAAATTTTAATAACTTTCTTATACTATTTTGGACAGAAGCTTGTTTATGATCAAATGCTAGTATCTAGAAGGAAATTTTGTTTTCTTCCAGTTAACATTACATTCAGTCTGCAGTTAAAGTTTTTAAACATTTTATTAGATTCATAAACTATCCTGGATTTTTACCAAACTTGGACAGAAGCTTCTTACAATCAAAAGATAGTATCAAGAGGAATATTTTTATTGATTTACTTCCTCATTTTTGTTGAGCCATGCGATTAACAGAAAAAGTAGGCGAGACACTGGGTTCCGTGGAACCCTTACGAATTTTTTTGTTAGAAAACACAGTAAAAGTTCCAGTATACAAGAACTTGTTGTTGCCTGTGGCGCTGAAGGTGGAAGCATGTCTAGTAACCGCTTGACTCCGTCCGTCCATCTGAAGTAATCTTTCATCTAAGTTTTCTTGGCTTTGAAAGGGAATGATTTAGTATTTGGTCTGCAGCTTTATAATGTTGAGTTGTAGCGAGTAAGCCATTTTTACATGTGCAATGTATCCACTTCCTGTTGGCGTATAGCTTGAAATTTGACAAAACTCAACTCATTGTACGAAGAAAAATTTTGATAAAAGTTTTCTTAGCTTCAGTGAAAGGGAATGATCAGTTATGCTCCAGTATACATGTTACCTCAATCAATTGCATGCAGTGACGCAGGTACAGACCCAGTATTGGTTTTTTTATAGTTTGCTTCGATATAGATGTAAAGGAGCTCTAGTTTGACCATCAAACATTTTTTTACAGAGGTTATATGTATAAAAATTGTGAAGAGATGTTTGCAAACTTAACACTGTTTGTATAATGAATTTTGATTGAGGAGAACTTAGGTGTGAAATTAGCAGAAATGTGTCATTTTAAAGATGAATTTGATGACTATTTGCATTTACAAATGGCCCGTTATTATTTTAAACGCTTTAATTATTTTATTGATTTTAAGAGCATCATGCAAAATTTAGAGTTGCACTTGCTGTTATTTTATGAACATACTGTGAAATCTAGAGCTGAAATGTAAATGGAAATACAAATGTTTACAACCAATTTCATTTTATAGCCTAGGAGCCAAAGTGCGGATCCATCTTTCAGCATTGAGTTAACTCCTATTAGTTACACACCAACTCAAAAGACCAATACACATTGTGATACAAATGACCTTGGACCAAGGCCACCTCCCTGTGGTTGTGAGGAAAGAGGGAGAAGTCGAGCTCGAGAGAGATTACCATTTTCGACTAGTGATGAAAATTCAGAAAATAAGGAAAATGAAAATAAAGAAAATTTTCTTGTTCCAAAGACGCCATCAATAGTTAACAGAACCCCTAAACCTAAATCTGCAAAAGCTCCACGACCTGTATCCACACAGCCTATAAAAACAAGGTCACCTCTAATGGCCAAACAGTTGCCATTGTTAGATGATACATGTAAGTAATAGTATAATTATTAACTAATTTGTAATATTAGATTATTAAGGTGGAAAAAATTAGAAAACGAAATTAAATACAAAAAGAACCATTTTTAAGACATAAAAATATGTATGTTAGGGGTTAGGGTTTTATCTTTAAAAATCATCGGGTCTGTAGGACAAAATTTTAATATACATTTAGGAAAATCAGAAAAATCTTGTTTCAATACAGTCCGGTTCCGATATCATATAAAGTTACACCATTTGTAATATTTGTCTATGAACAAAATGAACTTGATTTTAATCGAATATGTCACAAATTTTGATTGAATAAGTTGGTGGTGACAACAAATGATTTGTTGCAGAAATGTTTTTGAAGAAATCCTCACAATACACTACGGTCAAAGTCATACTATGTGGTCGATCAGAAAATCATTAATGAGGAAGGTTATAATTTCTGACCACATTTACTAAAGGTAAAACAGGAAACCAGTGTCCAATGATTTGAAAAACTACTGACTGTTGACTAAACGAACCCCAATAACCCTTTTTGTCTGTACGAAACAAACGGACAAATGGACCAGCTCAAACAGGAAATAGGCGGACCTGGTGAAATTTTTGATGTCAGGACCAATGGTTTTTTGTGAATTAGTTTTTAATGGCTTTGTAGTTACCATGTTTTGAATTAATCCTTAAATAATTGAATCAGTGTATGTTATAATCCATGACAGATTGTACAATGTTACCAAAAATGGCTTGAATGTCACTTTCATTAAGTTATATTCCATTTTCTGGATAATATTGCTGTTATTTTAGATTTTGATCTCCATAAGAAATACAGTCACCTGTTATATTAATATTATGTTTGTGTTTTGTCAAAATTGCAAACTCATTTCATTTTTGTACAGCTTATATAAATCAAACTTTTTATGACATGAATGTCTTGGAACATTTACAGAAAATTCTTTTTATAGTAGTACATTAACTGAAAGATAAACCATGTTTAAGATTTCTACACATATCTTACCATTTCTTGAATATCCTTCCATAGGAATGCTCAAGATCTAGAATTGTAACGTCAATAAAAATAAAACATTTGAGAGCAGAAAAGTATCAAAAAGAACACTTGAAAACACCTGATTTCAACTTTTAACTGTGAGAGGGAGTTGCAACCATAGTTTCAGTACACTTACTTGAAGATTTTGACTTTTAGATGATTTTTTTTATTATTTAGAAGAGTCATTTCAGTTACTAAATATTGTAAAATAAATGCTGTATTTCACATTACTAGTATGCACACCTGGAAAGTCAGATAACTCCTATATCAACACAACCTTATCACCATCCCGGTCTTATGATTCACAACTCAACAACTTACAGAAAGAAAAAGCTCTCAGTGCAAGAAAAAAGTAAGTTTAATACAGGGTTATTCACATTTTATACAAGTATAAAAATGTATTGGTCTTTTAAGTTTAAGATGTATATTAAGTTTGGTATTATTCAAATAAATAGTTGATGAATTAGCTGAACAATGCTACAGATATGAGGCTTTAGACTCGCACAACTTTTTATCAAAATGTGCAATTGTGTAAAATTCTCAGTCTTTAGTATCAGTTATTACTAAAGTTTTTTTTTTTTTGAGAAGTCAAAACCAGACATGTATTAATATAAACCAACTAATTTTCACAACTTTCACTGTGAGAAAAATTGTGCGACATAAATTGTCACGAATAGAAACAACTGAATGTTTCCTTATATAAATACAGCAACAATATTGGAAAATCGCAGAAATAAGTTGGTTTACAGTATCATTCCCGATAAACAGCTTTTCCTTTAGAAATATATTTGACATGTTTCAGACCAATTGATTGCCAGAGAGGATCATCTGTAGATGAATGTTTACATAGAGAACCTGACACACCCGGCTCAGCCTCCAAAACAAGGAAAGGATCTGTATTTGGTAGTCTTGAAAGGGTATTTAACATGTTAACCCCTAAAAAACAGAGAAACTCATCCACAGATGGACCCAGAAAAGTTAAGGTAATGTGAATTATTAAATTACTGCTAATTAATGCTAATAGATTTGCTTTCAGGAACTATGAGTATTCTTTAATACCTTATAATTTGTGAATTATTTTGTGTTTTTCTCATACCGGTATATTATTGTAAAGTGCTTTTCCTGTTCTGCTTTGTATTGGATGTTCTTTTATGTTTTGTTTTATTAATAAAAAGGTGGAAGGTTGAGCTCTCAATTTATAATATACCTTGCTTGTTTGGATGACACCATATGTATAGGCTCCCCATCTATTTATGTTATATAATTTTCTACTCACAAAAAGATAAAAATTGTAAATTCTAATCTGAAATCTACTGGTTTAAATGTATATTTATAAGAACAAGTAATACATTTATATAGAAAGAAGAAGATGTGGTATGAGTGCCAATGAGACAACTCTCCATCCAAGTCACAATGTGTAAAAAGTAAACAATTATAGGTATGGCCTTCAACACGTAGCCTTGGCTCACACCGAACAGCAAGCTATAAAGGGCCCCAAAATGACTAGTGTAAAACAATTCAAACAGGAAAACCAACAGTCTAATCTATATAAAAAACGAGAAACACTTAAAAACCACTTCTTTGTTAGGAAAATATTTGCTTCAATAGTAACTAAAAATGACAAATTTCTCTTATTTAAGTTTTCTTCTGCTAAAACTTCCTTTCATGGTATTGAAATCTTCAGTATTCAATTTTTCTTTTCACACTTTTTTTTTTTAAGTTAAAAATAGAGGAATAATGTAATTAAATCAACCACTAATTGAGAAAGTTTTCCTGAAAGATCTCTGCCAAATGCCTGAAAAAAAAGTTTGAAATAGTGGAATGCAATTCTATCTCTGCTGTAATGTATGTGACTTGCATTATTTCTCAACTTTCAGTAGTTAAATTATTATAATATGCCAACCAATACTAAATATTGGAGGCTTAAGTTATGCACATTTAAGTGGCAATTTTGACAGCATTAGTTTATATATAACTGTAAATTATTAGGTTTTGGGCATAGCATTGTATATATAGAATTAATTATATTTACATCTCTGTTTTCACATATTTTTAGGCTTTACATAACGTATACAGGACAGGAGAATTTAGTGCTGACTTTGTTTTAAGTAGAATCAAAGCTGTGATAGAAGAAAAGTTTATACCCTACAAGCAAAGCGAGTAAGTATATATTTTATTTTTCAAAGAAATAAATAGGAATTATTAACAGAACTATAAAGAAAAGAAAATATACCAACTGATCCTACACTTATGTTTTATGGTAATAACATGTAACCGCTAATATTGTGCTCGTGATGCTGTCAAAATGATGAAATTAAGGTCCAGATGTGTAACTACTGTACAATATAATACAATAATTCTTTTTTTAAAAACACTCTGTCACATACACATGTAAAACAAGAGGTTAAGATATACAAAATACATAGAAGATGGGTCTTAAGTAGGTACTCGTGAGATAACATTGAAATAGAATTCTATGGAGAAAATTCTGAAAAATAAAAAAATTAGTGCATAGATTGTTGACATGATGAAAGTCATTACAAGGCCTTCCACTGTGAAATTAAAATACACATCACAGAAGTTTAAGTTTGTCCTTGATTCAAAATCATGTGACCTTCAAGAATGGCAAATTTTATAAAAATTTCTAAAACGCTACAGAAAATGATACAGGAATATTTATATTTTCCACTGTTGACATTGACAGTGTTCTTTCCCATGTTATTTGAGACAGCATCATCACAAAAAAAAAGGAACAAAAATACAAAATTGAGTATATTCAAGCTCAGGACAATTATGAAAGTCCAGACAATTCAACAGAGTTCCACAGAAAATAGTTAAAGATTTTGCACTATGTACAAAATATTCTGCTAATTTTCTTTTACTGCTTAGGATTTTTTTGAATTTCGTAAACCGGTTTAAATGGAAATCTACCGATTTTATACTTAGCACTTTCAAGTCTGAATACCTTCTGTCAAATTTGTACAAACCTGGAAGGTTCAAAACTGAGTAGTTCATTGACCATTTACATGAAGACAAACTATTAATCATTATCAAAGTACATTATATGCTTAGTATTTAAACATTGTATACTGAAGTTTGAAAAGAAAAAGGACAAATTGTTAATATCAGATAGTCCACTGGTAGACCTATTTGGAAAATGCCCGCGATTTTTGGCTAATCTCCGCGAAACGGATAATAATTAGAGGTTCATCGTAAATTTGCTGTATTACAGAATATTATGCATGTTATCCGGAGATTTTCCGTGTTGGCGGGAATTAGCCGTTTGTCCGATAAAACGGGTGTGTATTGAGTCAGTGATAGAACCAGTGATGCGTGAGCGACGGTTATTAATAGATCGTTGTACATAGATGATTATAGAATCCGTTATGCGTGAGCGACGGTTATTAATAGATCGTTGTGATATATACAATGTTTACAGTCAGATTAAAAAAACTACCTTATTTCCCTTTTCGGTTGAGATAAAACGGTGTTTTTAATAATAAAGTTACTTACGATTTAAATATCAAATGTTGTCATTGTTCATTAAAGAAAAATCTATTTTAATGTGACCAATGAACAAGATGAATACACGTGTTATCTTTGCTAAAGACAACTACAATTTTTTTAATATATGAATGGAAATCGTATTTACGTTAAAAAACGTAAATTAATCTACTATTCATGATAGATTCATAATGTGAATCGATAGTTTGGGTCAGAAACTTTGTTCTCACTTTAAAAAATTCTTCACAATTGTCATGTTTAGAAAAAAAATCAGTCCTTGTACTTATAGAGTCTCCGGAAGATACCGTAATCGGGCAGGATGTCAAACTGATCTGACACTTGTCCTAGTGTATTTAACACCTGCTGTGATATTGCTTGTGCAATACCAGTGGAAGGTCGTAAATCAATCTGTACCCGATTGATCAGAATTTAATTTTACCTGTACATATATTTAGTCGTTACGGAGGATATCATAGATACATGTTATATATTGTATTGTAATTAATGAAGATAATTTAAATATATTATATAATAAAGACCTATTTGCATATAAATCGAACATATTCATTCCAACCAAGAAGGTTTGAAATTGAAAGTTTTCAACAAACTTTTGATAAAATCTTTCCCGTAAATTACATACGAGTCATTGGTTTATAGTTACACTTTGTTACCCTTCTAACGTCTTATTTCTTTGTGCTATTAAAAGAACTCAAAATTTTCCATATCAGATCACATTTCGTACGAGTCCTAAAAATTATAATTGAATAATCTTCTATTTTCCTTTCGACACCACGTTCCCCATAGGAGCCTCAAGATCTAATCATACCTGTCAATCATTTGCCACAAGTTGGTCCGCCTGATAGATCACTCGTGCTTTCTATTGTGACATCGTTGAGAAGTTTTTGTAAATTGATTTGTGATATAAATAAAGTGATGTGAAGTTTATTTTACGGCCGATCAAAATTTGATGTGATTCGATTTTTCTTTTACACAAAGATGTTTTTTAATATGTCATAAAATACATGGAAATAAAACATTTGAGTTCTTTTTTTCCCGTAAATATATTCAATAAACCAAAATTTATTGAAAAGGTAAACATTTATAATCATTACAAAGTTATAATTTGATTTTTATTTAAGTCTGTTAATGGAAACAATAAAATGACAACGTCTTTGCAGAAATATTAATCCAGACATTAACGTACTTAGACTGTCCATTTGTTCCACTGTGTAGGACAATTTATTCACGAACTACATCATTAATAATTACTAATATAACAGTTGCTGAAATGTAAGTTGTATATTATTTATTTTTTTACAAACATGCGTTTTGGTTCCGTTCAGATTTGCTATTACAGCATGTGTAGATTCCTTGATTTTCATTTAGTTTCAGTTATATATATACTAGTTCCAGTCAGTATAGGGCTAATCATTTTGCCTTCCAACAAAGTCAACAATTTAGCATCGGACGTATACGTGACTGCGTATTTATACATCTCTATATGTTATATCTGATGTAATGGACTCCTAGTATGTTGTCCTTTTAAAGTTGGCTATACAATATTGGCTGTGCTCATTGTTGAAGGCTGTACAGTGACCTATAGTTGTTAATTTCTGTGTCATTTCTCTTGTGGAGAGTTGTCTTATTGGCAATCATACCACGTCTTCTTTTTTTATAACGTACCCGTTTTAATAGCAATGTTATATTCAAAACGGATGAGAAAACCCCATGGATGACAATTATCTATATCCATGTCAAGTGGGGTTAGGTAATAGGAGCGGAACTTATTGATTATGTATGTTTGTGAGGGTCTGGATAGGATTTATAGAAGACTAGAGAACACAAATGGACAAAAAGTGCACAACATAGGACCAGAAAAGTAAAGAAAAATAGACGCCAAGAAAATAAAGAATATAGAATAATGAGAAAAAAATATGAAGAATAGAGAAAAACAGATGACTAACAAATTAAAAGACAATTAGGATTGAAAGACCCCCCCCCCCCCCCCCCAATATTCAAGACCTTCGTATGTGTTCAAAGAAAATCTGCATATGTTATAGTTCCTTGCTATAAAGTTACGTTCTCAAAGGCTTTTAAGGATTATGTACCCTTGTGTTGATTAAATGCTAAACATATGGATTTTTTTTTAGAAAATCCACAGCTTTTCCCTTGTACTGTCATATTTGGCGATTCGATGCTTTATTGATGAAGGATTATTGCATTCAGTGCTAGCAATGATTTTTTTAATTGAGTTATATATGTTTAAAATATTATAACAAAAATAAAATGCTTCGGCGCTGAGCGCAGCCTGATATGACCGCAGAAGTTGAACCATGAACAGTTGGGGCAAATTTTGACACAATATTCAAGCTTATTACTGTCTGAATTAGGATTGTGATCAAATTTTTGACATAATATAGGTTTCTGACACAAAACATGTGTAAAGGTCTTTCAAATCTATTGGGCAATACTGTGCAATTAAAGATTTCTTCTTGAAACTTTTGAAATATTTTAAAATTTGAAAAATTTTGAAAAAAAAATTAAACCCCTGTTAAAAAATTGGAAACCTGCAAACTTTTTGAACTCACAACCCCCTCGCCCTTTGGAGCAATAACCTCAACACTTGATCCCAGTTTTCCTTTGTAGTATGGAAACTTATAGTACAATTTCAGAAAGATCCATACAGTGACTTAAACACAAGTTATTGTCTGAAAAACTAGAATAACTAAAAAAATGTTTTTTGGCCCTTTTATGGCCCCGAATTCCTTCATGAATGGGGCAATTACCCCCAAACTCAATCCCAGCCTTCCTTTTGTGATATGGAACTTTGTGGTACAATGTCAGAGAGATCCATACACTTACACACAAGTTATAGTCCAGAAACTACAAATGTGTCTTCGGACGACGTAGACGACAACAACCACATCATACCATTATACGATCCCCCCCCCCAAAAAAAAAATTGGAATCGTATAAAAATCTCGGTCTTAAAATCTGTGGATTTTCTAAAAAAATCTTGATTTTATTTTCACCAAATTTTCTTTTTCTACTAAATTCAATTAAACTATAAATAATAATGCTTTGCACGAAGTTTCCCCTTGGTATATGTACCAAATGGTCCATCTCTTTTTATAAATCTGGATAATTTCAGAAAAGGTATCAAAATTCATAGGGACTCCTGGAGACGGGGACAATTTTTTTCAAGCCCTCTCCCTTTTCTCCAAAGTGCATTATTTTTTTTGTTTTCTGTTAAATACCATTATTTTGGCGGTTCTGTATACTATGAACATACATTTATTATCAATAAAGTATATTTGATATAAACTATCAATTCCAAGTTTCTTCTACACGGCGATCACTGCTAAATTGATTTCTCCTAAAATAACCCAAACAGTAGAATCATAAGATTAGATGACAAATGCAACTATGCATGGAACCTATAGAACACAGAGTCATGATGATTAATTTATTGTGAAAGGAAGAGAAGCGACTAACAAAATGAGGTCTTCTCGTTTAAGTAGTATAGATAGATAGATACTATAAGTCGGAGAAGCTTTTGTAAAGAAACATAACAAGCTATACACAAATTCATAAACATCACATAAGTACATCCTCAACCAGGCTATATATCAAGTCGACAAACATTGGAAATGAAT